GTATCGAACTCAAACTTTATACGCGTTTAGCCCTTACGCTAAAAGGGCTTACTGTAAAATTTATGATTGGTTATGGTCAACGACACTCGTAATATTTGAATAGACAGTGGGGGGCCTCGATGGTCACGTCGACATCTCCATTTTCCTCTTTCAGTTTGCTCGAACGGTGAATTATGTAATTAATTTCTCATTATCGTATTGGAAACCTCGAGTAAAAGAAAAGGGATTATCGTTCTTATTAGAACACGGGAGATTCCGAGAGCCTAGGCGACGGTAGCCTGGTGGATCCGAGTCGGGCAAAAGGATAACAGAGACCGTAGGACGACGAAGGGCAACGTCTATTTCAACAAAATGATCGACGCGTATCGTTATAGAAACCAGAAAGCAGAACTGTGCAATTTTAACCGTTTACCCTAAATACACGTCTCCCGAGACCGCGTTATTCACGCACTCTATTTTCTTGTCAGCGAAATTAAGTACCTACGCGTCCACTTACGCGGAGCGACTCATTCGATCCACTGAAATTCAGTTTCGTCATTAAGCAAAGGAGTTTCTCCCGTTCGTGCCAGCTATAACTTATCCTTTTTTCACAAATTTTCAGGCAATTACACGATGCGCCGTCCGGACAGGCTCGGGGTGAAGAAAAAAGGACGCGCCGCGTCGTCCCGCTTATTGGATCGAATGAAACCTGCTTCGCAGCCTGAAGGGTGTAGTGTATGCATTATTCAAATAGCGGTACCAGCTATCCAACACCTCGCTAATAACACCGGGCCCATTTTTCTCCTCGACGGCTAAGTATCCGCCGCTCGAAGCGCATCGACGAGCTAAACGTCCGTGTTGGAATGTCAAGGGAGGTCGTAGACGCGTGGATGAACGATAATAAACTACCCACCGGTGAGGAAGAGGACGGGAGAGACATTTTGCACGAAAGTACGCCGCTTTCGCGTCTGTTCGCGCCGTACGGACGCGCTCGAATGTGATCAGTCGTATCCTGGTTCCAGATGCAACGCGAGGTGCCTCGTTAAGATACGCCGGAAAAGGGAAATCGTAATTAGTGAACGTCAGACAAATACTGTGGGATTCTGGCTGCCCTTGCGAACGTTTGAGCGACGTTTTATTATTGAATACGCGCTTTCGAGTGTGAGATACTACTGCGACTAACCGTTCCACTGTCCGTGAGCCGTATGTGGCGCACGTGGCAATGTATATATTACGAGCAAAGATCGAATTTAATCAACTTTAATAGCAATGAATTCGAGATGAGGTCCAAGTTACATATTTTTGTTAGTACGCGGTAAAAATGAACCTTTTTTGAAGTATCCTGTACGTGGAAATGGGAAATGGATTTTATACAATCCTCGGTGAAGACGTTGCTACACAACGATATTCTCAGGCTAGGTTTACATCCTCGTAAAATTCTTCTATGCATTTAGTACGATCACCGGGACATTTTGTATTTAGAAATGTGGTCAAGTAATGAAGCTATTGGGCTTAATATATACTGTGGTCAATTAGAAAAACTACTAGAATGACCTTTCATGAATCTTCCGCGATACAGTTGTTAATAGAGACAATATGTTCAAGCTTAAAATAAGAAAAATTAAATCTGCATAAGCAGGAGGATCGTTTACTCGAACATTTGCAAAAGTACCCTCCGCGATGAAGAAACACTGCGATGATCGCAGAAATCTGGATCGCTTATTAGCAGACGTTACCAATTATCCCGTTGTATATTACCGCGAAGACGCAACTGAAACACGCAACTCGTTGGGGGAAAAAAGGACACCTAACCAGTCCGTACTCCCGAGACACGAACACCGCCAGTCGGGTTACAGGATCTTACCGAAATGGCGCTCGTGCAACGTTTAATCGTTACCTTGGACTTTAAGAAGCTTTCCGATTTGTCCCGGTCGAGCGATCGATCACTCAGCGGCAACTTGTTGTTTCGCAAGCTCGCCAAGATGATCGCGGGTGTAATTACAACGATCGGGCAGCGCGTTCTTGGAGTACTTTCACACCGTGAGGGCATTCTATCGCCGACCCGTCGAACGTATCAACGCACCAAACGATGACTATGCCGCTCGCGTCTATCACGTGGCATTTATGAATGATAATTCTTTCGTCCCATAAACTATTAATTACAACCACTTCGAGAGGAATGGACAGAGGCTTGTCCTGGGCCTCCCTTAAACGCTGGGACATTGTATGGCCGGTCGAAGAGTGTAAATATAGGAATGGGCGGTCGATCGAATACTTGTGAGAGAGTTAAGAGCTGCTGGCGAGCGCTACCTGAGCCAATTGTTTTAATTGTTTAGACTTTATACAGGAGATTTAAAGTTGTTAATTTAAGGGTGTTCTTTACACGTTCTTCTGAATAGAAGGCAGTGTCTGATTGTTGTTCATTCGCAAGAAGCGATGCAGAGGAGTAATTCCATTCTTCTACTTGCCAATAACAACATAACTGTTAGAGTAACAATCTCAGTGATCGAACACTTGGTTGATCAGGTCATGTTTGACATGAAAAAATTAATTATCAAGATTGGATGTTAAAGAAAATGAATCTAGACGATGCTCTTGAATTTTACCAATTGTCTAACAACAAAGTTTCAGTTTCGTGGCAAATTTGAAGAGTTTGGTCTAACAATTAACGCGTCAATGTTTACGTAAATTGCTATTTGCTTGGGTTTCGAAGTTTCGAGAGCACGAAACTGGGAATATTTTGAGTTTCGATGGGTTTCCGGGATTTCGAGTGTCCCGTCCGTAGTAAAAACGGCCTAGCAAAGATTGCCATCGAGCAGGAATTTCATCCGACGACCGGCTGAATGGGTTCACCTCGGCTCTCGGTGTTTAGGCCGGAGGCGCTATAGGTGGTCCACGGTCGGCAGGTTGCGCGCTATCTCGACTGAACTGGTGCAAGTTCATTCACCCACGGTTCACACCTCACTGGGCACAATGCCGAGCGTACCGCAGGCTCCTGAGTACGCTGTACTTTTGTCCTAGCCGAGATTAGCGCTAGTATCCCCGACTAAGTTAGCCAGATGCCCGGAATTCAACGGGCGATTAACATACCTGCTAAGGATTCACGCTACGCTGAAACGTCTTGGACCTGCCTTAACAGTCGACATTTCGCTAGTGCTCTACGGCTAGAATTCTTCCCAAGTCATACATAAATTAGCATAAACGTCTCGAGCACTCTCGCGTCACCTTCATGTTTTTAAATGGAACCGTGTACTTTTGCTACGCCCATCTCGTTGCGTGCCAAGACGAGTTCTAACGACGCGTACGAAGCGTGCACTTAAGGAGGATTTTGCGTTTTTACGCGATCGAACAATCAAGTTTTCGTTTTTGCGATCTGTTGAAACGTATTGTCCCTTGCCGTTTGCGACCCAACACTGAATTTAGGCGTTCATTACTGTCTTTTGTCACATTTACGTTGGTAAACACATGTAGTATCGTGTCGTTGGGTGATTCAACGTGTCGACGATGTAGAATTTTTATTAAAAATTTTTTTTCCTTGATTTGTCTTTTCACGAATAATCACCAGCTAACACGTTTAATATTTTTACATAGAACGTTCGTGACACCAGTAATTAAATCGTGGGGTTGTAAGCGACCGAACGCATAAGTAATTCCCGCTGATATCTGTACGCTCTTGCTCCTCGAAGTTGCATCGAATCATCGCACGTATCCTTGTAAGACTAAGAATGACAAATCGGCGACACGGTTCACTTTGCGACTGAAACAAGAATTTTATGTTATTCGGTGCAGTTAAATGGGTACACATGTTTTTGCATACATTTGTCTTTTCGTAAAAGCTTTATTTACAGAATTCGTTGAGACCCTCCTCTTCCCAAATAGTTCTACAGTTTGCATATGTTTAGAAAGTTTGTAGAACAAATATTCCATTTACAGAGAAAAAAATTTCCACAATGTATGGTTCATGTACCTGTGCTCGTTTTCCTGTGGGATCACGTTAAGTCTCTTATTTATTCCAACAAACTGTTGACGATCTCGAAGTAAACATCGTTTGTATTGTTGCTAAAGCGGTGGTCATTTAAATTATATGTATCTCGGATTGCCTTTCATAGCTTTTCTTTTATTTGAATCGAAAGTTTTATCGAAAGACCCTGTACTATCCTAAAGCGTCTCCGACGCCCCACTCCGGAAATCCTCGACCTCGTCTGGTTCTGTTTCTGGTTGCATAATCGTAAATCGGTATCGCGAAACAACGGCAACCGATGCCCGTTCGGTCGATTCCAGATTTACCCCGGTGCAGATAAACAGGTGTAAAATTTTATCGCGCGCGTATACCAGGTTCGCGCGCTCGCGAGCACAGTATATTAAATCCAACACGAAAACTCGTTACGTCGCAGTCGACTTAAAGGTGAGCATCATTAGCGACACGGTCCATAACTCTGCTTAAAGCGCAACGCTCCTCTATCCCGTTCCCTCTTTCTCCCTCTGTTTCATTTCGACGCGAGTTGCACGCACACGCGGCGCAAGGTGCGAAAGGTTTGAGTATTTTCTAATGAATGATTATCGCGAATCGGTTCGAGAGTACCCGTCCGTAACCCCTGGTTATCGGAGCGGAGTTATCGGCTAACAAGTTGTACCCCATAGAAACATAGTAATCCCCATTCCGGTGGTAGAGATAAGAGCACCTTGCTGCGCTCCAAGTAACGCTGTACTCGCAGCAACGTTGCCCTATCTCACCCCTACGTAGCGTCGTACTCGATCCGATCGCGAGTTCGAACAAACGAACGACGCTTCAATTTGCTTCCCGTTAAAATTTACTCGTTAAAAGAATCACAATTTATTATTAAATTACAAATCTCGATATCGATTCTATGTTGTTCTACCTATTTCTATATTATATGCATACTATATATTGTTTATCTATAAGTATTTGTGGCGACCTGAAAAAGCATTAAGCTCGAAGAAAAGTGAAGATCGCCCGGGTTAGTTGGTCAGAAGCAGCAAAGCGATTAGAGCCCTACGCTATGAAGTGTGGTGACCCCGACGTGATCGACCTCATTCCTGTGTCGCCCATCACCCAGTTCAAACACGGGTCTTATCAACGTAGAGAGGCAAGCACACAAACCACTGAGGTAGCCTCAGTTCCCTTGTATCCTAACATTGAGGATCCCAGCCCTATTGAATGGCTGCAGCAGTTTGTAAGGAAAGAATTTATCCCAACTTTAGACGAGAAATTTGTTCCACCAACTCTGTTTGCAGCTGTTGCTACGTATTGCTACAGGTAGGCAGACAGTCGTTCCCGTTTACGACGATACCACGGTGCAGGAAGGAAGTGAGAGAATCGTACAGAACCGTGCCAAAGCAGAGGAACGGCTAGTGCCTAACATTTTCCTAAATCGCGACTCGATTATTTTGCGTTCGCGTTTACAATTATTCGCACGTACGCGAAACTATCGGCCAATATAACACGCGATAACGATAACGATAGTCCGCGCAACAGTTTCCCCTTTTTGAACCAGTCACCAGTCGTTCGAAAGACTATCGAAACAATTTGATTCATCAATAGTCCTCTACCAGTTATTTTAAGAACAATTTAATCATCTGACATTCCAAGGGGGAAAAAAATATATTTGCTACAAAATTTTAATAATTTCTCCCCGTTTGGAGAACCGTGTATCTCTCTACTGAATACGAACGTCATGTAGCAAGCGGATAACAAATATGGCGGCCATGACGATTGAATGTTCTATCGCTCTTATTAGAAAGCCTCGTATTTAGATTTTTCGCGGCGCCTTTTCTTGCGCGTGATTTACCAGCACGCGGCAGATCGGGAAGAGAAATAAAGCAGACACACAGCCCTCGGGGAATCATCAGGAAAGAGTCATTACACGCGCGCACCTCTCATAATAGACGTCCACGCGCGGATCGATGCGAGTGTGTTTTGCTTCCTCGGTCACGGTGGCCCTTTTTAAAACGTGAAACGCGCGTCTCGACCGATCTGCTTCCACGCGAGACCAGGTGATTTTGATTCGCTGGCTCGCAGCGGGACGGCGATTACCATGTCAGACGGTGTAAAACATTTTTTTGACAGGTGATAGATTAGCGTTCTTTATGCGAACGGGTGTGTTGCAGGCCTGATGTACAAAATCAGTTTAAAGAGTTTCGTCTTAGGGTTACTTAGCGGGCTACCGTACTTTCGTGCATACTTGTTGCACAACGTGTAAAAACTATCACGACCGAGTCCCGTTAAAATGATTTACGGTTATTCTTATTTTCTAATCAAACTCACGTTGCCCGTATTAATTGTAATTTTTCCTTCTTCGTTCGGTACTTTTCCTCCTGACGCGATAAAAGAACGCAACAGCGAACAGTGTTTCAGGGAATGGTTAAGGTGGAAACGTGTGCCATGAAATCTCGTAACTTTCGACGAAGCACAGCAGTTTACGAGTGCAGAGACGAAAAAACGAATGTCGATGTTCCTCGCGTACTGAACTACCTCGGCAAAAGTATTGCAGTTTACGTGAAATTTTTAAAATCGTCTTGTGTCCGGCTTTTGGGGGCAAACACCCCACTGTGCGCCCGTCGTCTGTAACGTTTGCCCAGGGGGACAAGAAATTTCGCAAACAGTCAGCCAGACGGCGAGACCGACAATCTGCGCAATTCCAACTGCGGCAAAAGCGACCGACATTGAATGTACTCCGCGGAGCTCTCAAACAAATTAACGCGAGCGCAAACACTGACGCAAGCAGCCGGAGCGGCGATGCGTGTTCCTGCCTCGTCCAGCCCGAACGTCCATTCACTGGTCACAGATGACAGAACGATGGACGGGCCCCATTGAGCCTTTACTAGGAAACCGCTCTCAAACATTTGATTTGACACTTCTGTGACGTTTTTCGCGGCGGCGCATAATGGCCGTTTGCTCATTAGGGAGACAGGTTAAAACCTCGATCATTGCCACCGTGAACGCGCTGCCCGGCGTGAACCTGCACTGACGCGATAAAATCCTCGGTAGCCAGTGAAAAGCGCCCTTTTCAATTCGTCCCCTGTGCCCAGCGTCTTTGTGAACGCTTGGAGAACCACCAGTCGATCAAAGACTCATTCTCCTCGGATCGAGGTCTTATCAAGCCCAGTCTCTTCGAGCCGTTTCAACGGTTACTTTCCTTATGCTGCGAATAATTGCGCTTTCTATGGAATTCCACGCGTAATTCACGGTCGTACCAACGAACATCGTGCGATTCTTGGCGCGGGAAGTTTCGTAATTTTTGTCTATTTTACCGCGGCCAAAAGTACTCGTATCCTTACCGGTCGCAAATATTGAGTCTGCCTGGATGTTGATATTGGGGCAAATTTTTTTATTGCCTCAAAACTATTAACACCATTTTTACACTTAGGGATTGATTCGATATGGCTAGTTTTTAGAAAATTAATACTTGAAAGGTACACTGTTCTTTTTAATTCATCTAATAATTACAAATTTTTAATAGCGTATATTTGTACCTGTTAAACGCCTATCGTTTTAACGAGTCAGCGCCAAGAAGTACCAAGAAATAGGAGAATTATGGCAGATAAACCGTGACCGTAACGTATTTTGACGGAAGTTTATCGCAATTCGGTTCTACACAAAGGAATTTTTACCTTCTTTTTACTTCCTCTTATCCGCCAACCTCTTGGTTTTCTTATGGCACAATGCATACTGTCCGGGGTACACATGGAATGACCTTCCTTTCTAAAAGTGGCTATAAATTCTTCACCTCATCCGCCTCGTGACCTCATTGGCGAAATGTCGTAAAACCAAATACAACGATAGATAAGCTTGGTATTAGATCAACGACCTGCGAACACATCATCGATAAATAGTTCACGATAAAGATAACAGATCTGAAGCAATCAGTAAGACGGAAACTATTTCTTTATCTTTTGATCTCCTGAATGTACATTTTTTATTATTAGAAATATGCATGCATGTTCTTTCGATCGTAGAACCTGACATGACCGATCTTGAACTCGTCGAATTCATCAATCCGAATATAAACGACCCAAGTCCTGCTTAAAATAAACCAGATTCGTTCACGACACTCGATACAAACGATCCGAGACTGGCCGAACACAATATAAATGACCTCGAATACGTAGAATTCGATACACGGTAATGATTTTACAAGTCGTGAATGTAAAATAAAATTTTGAGATATTGCAAATGTAAGAGAAAATCAACTTTAAAATTGATTGGATACGCGTGCAACATAGAACAACTTGGACATCGGAACAAGTAGAAATAGTAAGTAATGGACAGACGTGCTAGACAGATTGTATTCAATCGCACGCGTATCTCATAAATATTCAAATTCAATTATTTCGAAAACGAACCGTTCCACGAAAAACATTCTATTTTTAAACAAATATGCCGGATAATTGGGCTATAGGATGAAGTGATAGAAACGAGGAATTGGACCATTTTTATGGGGTTTTTCTTATTTTGCGGGGTCAAGGGACAACTTTACGAACTTTTACGTATTCTCCACTAAAATACACGTAGTTTGCATTTTGAAACATTAAAATCATCCAATCCGTTCAGAAGTTATGACATTTCTGGTCAGAAATTATATTTTCGGGGTATATCTATTGACCAAAAATGATTGCAATTGACCACCGCAAAATAATTTTTTCAGAATGATTTGAAACTTTTTAATTTTAGTTTTTATGTTTAATAAATACAACCATGGACAATGTAGTAATACAATTTACTAATAAAAAATACAATTCGTATAATTCCTACGCTTTGTTCGTCAACTGTTTAGTGATTTCTTTGATATGGACGTTCGTTGTTAAAGTTTGCTAATCAATATAGTGGAAATGTTTAAAGCATCCCGATCTCGTCGCGTTGAAAATTGTCCGTCACGCCCCCTTAATGGTTTTCTGCAGTGTGTCTACACAGGCTCGTATCACGAGGAACGAACGGTGGAAGAATTCTCGGTGCAGTATTTAAGTCTATTGGCTACTTCTTGTCCGTATTAATAATAATGTCCGATGTTGCAGCGGCCAAAACGCGTACATTGACAGCCCGTACGGCGTGTGCACATTCCTCGGGTTTAATTGCCTTATATCGTGCTTCGGCTATGTTAACCTGTTACACATACGCAGTGTTCTATACGAGAACGCTTGGACTTTATCGCGGTGTCGGTAAAATAATGAATCTACCGGTGTAATGCGTTTACCACGGTATCCCGTGGTTCGGGATCACAAGGCCTGTGTTTCAGTAATCAACATTTTAATTATCTCGTCCAATTTCCGAGAATGTGTCACGAGCATGACTGAGAAGATCGTCGGTTTCGAGCGGACCGCCTATCCGTATGGACAACCCAACGCCACCCCTGCGCGAACATTGTTGCACGGGTTATTTACTGCCAGTCGATTCGAACACACGGGTTATCGCAGAAGAGCTGGTAGATATCTATAACTAGAGTTAATTGCACGATACATTGATGCGCGAAAATGTTGATTTCGTCTTTGCGTGTGGGTGGAACTGAACGTACGCGATTAAAGTTCAAGTGAAATAGCACGTTTGAAAGTAATGCGATATAAATCTTTATTAGAAGGTAAAGAACAAAACGAAGAAGGATACTGACTCACGCTTACTTTGGAAGGTAGTTATAAACTAACGGAATATACAGTGCGTAGTCATGGACACATCAAACCTGGTAAACAATCCCAACAAAGTCAATTTAAAGAAAACATTATGATACGATGTTTTACACACCAACCCTGAACATATGCCTACTTTATTTCCGTTACCTCTTATTTCGAAGGTATATTCAATAATTTACGGATTGTCCGAATTTGGATCGAGAAAATGTGCTAATTTAAAAGAGGGATATTATTTTCATTAAACTAACAGTAAGTGTGTTAGAGTGATTTGTAGAACACTAAAGACCAACACGATTTGGTAACATGCATTTTTCAAGAACTCGGTAACGACTGGCACTTAAACGTTCCGATTACAAAAACGCGGCCTCGGCGTGGGCGTATTAAAACGTTGAAAGTGAAATCTGAGGGCTCGTTCGATAGAAAGACTCCAAGTCCACCTAATGGCTAAGATTTACGTTGTACAGAAGTGGGGGTGGTTCTCTACCGAGCAATTCTAATAACAAATGACCTGGTCCGCGTCAGGAACGACAGCTCGTCTAGGTTAATGTCTGTTGCGCAGATGTGGAAACAATCTATGAACGTCGTTGCAATAAAATTTAGGATACCAATTAAAGTGACCGGCACGGAGAGGTTATGAGGGGCATGCGGTCGAAGAGCTCCTTAATTCTTCTAGTAACGCGAACAAATAGTAAAATTCCACCGTACAACGCTATTGATCTTGTTTAACGCTCTATAACGCCATGAAACTTTGAAGTTATATACCCGCGCGTTTATATTTTACAAATTTCATTTCATTTACTACTGTGCGCCATTGTTACGTCCAGCCGCGTGTCAGGAACAAGAATTTCGTATTTCATCTTTATAGAAAGGAAACAGGGGTCGAGACAATCTTTGCTCTAGAAATACAGACCGCTACTTTAATACGTTCCAAATACTCCACAGAAATAAAAGGATGCCTCTATGAGAAAACAAAAATAATCATGCAATTGCACTTTTCTCAATTTTCATCTTATCTTTATAATGGATCCTTCAGATTTTTCATATTAAAACGAACCCAAAGATTAAATAAACTTATTAATCTTTTGTATCGCATTTTTAATTGCTTCGTATCTTTTTAATGTATTTAACATTCTTCGTGTATATCGAGTTGACGGGGATGGTTTCGCGAACAATATCGAGGGAAAAGGTAGCGAATGTGATTGCGAGAAAAGTAAAAGGGTTTCCAGCGCCGCGGACGTCAGGAGGTGGAACCAAGAGATCGTCCTTATAAACGACGAGTTTATAACGTAGAATTTGATCGCTAATAGCGCGACGGGACGAGAAAAAAACGATAATGGCCGATACGATTCAATAAATTTATGAAACGTCGGGCGCGATGCAAATATGCAATTACGTCAGCTCGTTGAGGCTATAAAGAACACGTGCGAACCAGAGACACGTTCACCGGTGACTTTACACGAACATCTCCAAATCACGCTCACGGCCAACACCTTTCCCGCTCGTTCTGTGCCTCTAACGATATTGCCAATCGATTATCTGTGAGAATCGATGCGTGATTAATTACTGTAAGGGTATTGATATTTAATGAACCGTGCCTGCACGATATATTGAAACGTAACACTATTTCTTGACAGGGATAGTGATATATTACTAATTGCTTCCGCGTAATGGATTTTCCCTAGTAAACGCACGTTAGACACAGGTGCTTCGACAGATTTCTATGTGTTTGCGTTTTCTTTTACGCGGGCTTCACGGTACCGAGGTTTTTAAAAGATCATCCGTGGTAAAGTTGTACAGAGCGTTCTTAAAATAAACAATCTTTACGAACAGTCTATACGCTGGAATGATAAACGAAATATCGGTGATCATAGGACAGTAAATGATTTTTTATGTAACGTAAAGTACCGTAAACGGGGTAAATAGAAACATTTCTACTTGAATCGGTGTAAGAGTGTCCGAACAATGGGGATCGTGAAAATTAAGTCCAAAAGAAAGAACATAATTTTGTCATACGAAGCTCCATTTCTGAGAAAAACAAGTTTGGAATTGGAATGGATTTAGCTGGCGCGTCCGTCCATTACTGGCTGTTTCTACTTATACCGATGTCCAACTCGAACTCTATCGAATATGATTTAACTTTACGTCTGCCCATTACTTACTGTTTCTACTTCCGCTGCTGTCCATGTCCCTGTACACGCAATATTTTCAAGCTTGATTTCCTTTAAAATGAAGCCACGTATGAAAAAATGTATTAATTTAAGAAAGTTAAATAAACTGCTACTTAAAATGAATTTAACGTTATATTAATAAACATTTTTAATTGATGTTAAGCTATAGATCATTTTACGAAATACATGGTAATATGCAAAACAATTGGTTCACTGTTACGGATAAATAATCTATTTTCCTATAAATTTATAAAAATCAAAATTGTGCTCCAATCTTTTAAAGTATCAACTGTAAAAATGGTAAATCACGGATAAGATTCACAGAACAGTACAATATTATTTACGTTGTCATTTTTATCAAACAATAAAATCCACGCACGACCTCGCCGGCTTCCGAAAATTCTCAATGCCTCGAGAATCGGACCACACGACACGTGCTATAACTGCTACAATCTCTATTTACGATACGAGATATCAATGATCGCAATTATGATTACAGTAATACTATCACAATCACGTTTATCTGGCATGGCTTCTTTTATTTGCGATTACAGTAATTCCTGTGAAACTTATCAAAACAAAGTACTCGTTTCTTAATATTGTATACTTTGGGCAACATCATTTATACACCTTAATGATGTTATTTTCAAAAATTATTCATCGACGTTTCTTTGTCTTTCACTTTTAGGGAACATGAATAAATCAGTATAATGCTTTATTTATACGACATTAATGTCAATGAACTTATTTATTTATCACCTTATTTTTGGCTGTTGGGTGTTTGGGTGTTGGTAATTTTGGTCTTCCAGGTTTTTTTAGAAGAAGAACTATATTTTCCAATTAATTTTCACGTTATCTTCTTTACCCCAAGCAGACAAGAATAGAGAAAAAACAAAGGAAATCTACAATTTACGCTGAATATTTAGACAGGACGATTAGGTTTGAACGAGTATGTCACGAAAGAATTATTGCGTACGACACCACTGACACATTTACCTTTTTCAATGCCACTCGGCCCAAATTATTTCGCATTTTGTTTTGGAACAATACTTGGCAAGATAACATATTCGTCAGTTTGTCTCATTAGTTATCTAATAGTGTTTGCTCGTGCATTAAATCATTATCCTATATTTCAAACATAAATAATGAAAACGATAACACGGATGATTGGTGAACAATTTTATTGTTCATATCTATAAATCATTCATAGATATGAACAATGAAATTGTTCATCAATCATCCGCGATATCATTCATATCTGTGAATAATAAAATAAAATAAATTACAAACGATTATGAAAACAGCAATCACATAATATGTACTGTATCTTTTTTGCGTAAATAACGCGCACAACAATTATTGCATGTTACATAACGTGTAATACTTACAATAGCTATCAGTATTCTCAGTTAAAACTTAAACAAACATCAGAATAGCTTATAAAGAGTGTATTTGCTATTGTCGAGGTATCATTAACCGCGACTGAGACCGAAACACTGATTTTTTCGTTATGTATCGCATTCTCCTCAAACTTTGTCTATTTGTGACTATCAGCTTTGGTAAGTATAGCAAACATCTATCACGACACAGCACTAGATTTCTGTTAACATAAATACATATTTCTTATTATCACATGACACGAATTTTAATTTCTAGAAATATTCCATTTTATAGAGATCGATTAAGTTTTAGAGTGAATTTTCTGAATTGTACTGAACAAACTTTAAGACCAATATCAAGTCATCTAACTCGACCACTTTTAATTGTTTTTACGCAGCATATTTGAAATACTGTTGGTAAATTGGAATTACAATGGAGGCAAAAGAGAAGAAGAATGGATGTTTCGTGGGTGGAACGTTACACTTGTGACTGCCTCAAATAAATTTTAAATTTTATTTATTCCCATTTACCGCCGTAATATTTCATTCGTCTTGCACTGACTGCTATTCCGAATATGCTGCATTTTTTCTGTTACCACTTCTTCTATAAGCAATTCTTTTTTCCATGCAGTCAGCGCCGATTCTCAGAAGTTACTAGTTTCCCTTCGTGCTAACAAATTAAAAGTCGCCAATGATACAGAGAAATTGGAAATCGTTAATGAAACTAAGATATTAGTAGAGCCCAACGATGTCGAAAAAATAGTGGGGGGCAAGAATGCTCGTCCTGGCCAATTTCCTTACACGGTATCCCTCAAAGTGTGGAACCAGCACATTTGTGGGGGTGCCATTATCAATAAAAATCACATCCTCACTGCGGCGCATTGTGTGTTAGCCGTTACTCCAAACATAAAACATGTGACCGTTGTAACTGGTACCATTTACCGTACGCATGGTGGCCAAAGCCACAAAGTGATCGCGATGTATAGCTCGGAGAATTTTAATGTTTCTACAGACATTGGTATTGCCAAGGTAAGAAGCTTTATACCTTATTTGCAGGCGTCGAGTGCACTCGATCTTAGCACATTACTGACCGATGGAGGAATCTTCCATTTTGTCTTTTGTTCTTTAGTCACCATTTATCTAGAATCAATCTTTAGAAAATACAATTTTTAGTAATAAAAAATAAGCAATATTGAGCCAGTGTAAAAAATAAAAATAAGTAGATCAATTTTGGCATTCGTAATAGTGACTTAGAAGATGATATTAGTGATATTATTATAACCATAAATTAATCTAGTCAGAGTGAATAGATTTAAAAAAGTGCTAGCCAAAAATGCATAATGGTCATATTTATCATAACAATGTTTTAATCAGTAAAATATAAGGTATAAAACTAATTGAACTTTTTAAAAATAAAAGAAACTACTGCACACATGTATTTTACAGATCGATGGCGCTATCGATTTCAACGCTTACCAACAACCAATTGCACTTGCCACCAGCAGGCCACCACCAAATTTCTACGCTGTTGTAAGCGGTTGGGGTAGTACAAAAACTCCTCGAACCCGAGATCCTAACACGCAGAAATATCTTTACGTAAAGATGATCGACTCTAATCTGTGTAGAAGAATATACAGACACGTAACCACAGAAATTTGCACTTTCAAAGCTGTCAACCACGGCGTATGCAGCGTGAGTATCAAGAAATTCTACGAAGTTTTTCATTAAGTTAAGAGACATTACAATTTTAAAAATTCCGTCGAAGCAAATTGTTGACTGAATATTTTAACGTTAATAACTTTTAAACGAAGCCTCAATTAACAAAATACTATTCTTGATTTTCATCTTATTTTGGCCTCTAGAATCGACCCTTAAATTTATACATACATATCTACAGTAAAATGATAGTTATCGAAACGTACAGCTACTACAATTAAAATATTTTTAACTTCTATTGAAAAAATATTTGTTATGAAACATTACAAAATAAGATTTTTTTAATCATTATAGAGTTCCTATCGTCCAAAGATAGCTTTATCGCTAAAGCACTTTGATAAAAGATATTATCTATTTAAAAATATACAATGTTTATTATTAATTTTTGTTCTCAGGGAGACAGCGGCAGTCCACTGGTTTACAATGGCCACGTTGTTGGCGTTACATCTCGCGGTATTCCTTGCGCAAAAGGATTCCCAGATATTTTCACCAGTGTCTACGACAACCTCGATTTCATTCGTACAAAAATGCAAACCTAATTTCAAGAACATATCATTTGAACACATGAAATAATCATCGCGGAGTGACAATGTAACTTGATATTGTAAACATCGTTACACGAACACTAATTACATACATTTCGTTCCTTTAAAATTTTCCTCTACGACTGCGTCCTGCTTGAGAACAAGGAAATTCTTAATCCGTAAAAACATTCGAAATCATTTACTTATCTCTAAGAATTTTGTAATCTATAAATAAATGATAAGAAATGTAAGTGGTGATTTTATGTACAAAAATAAATCGAGAAAGTGAAATAAAATTTTTTTTAGATGAAATGATTTTTCCAATAGTAGAATGATACTTTAATATAAATGTTAACAAATTAAAGATAACACGGACGTGCTATCTTTTTGGTTAGAAAATGTTCTCCATCTCGTAGATAAATATTAACGCGTAGACCTAAACCTATGATTTAAATTTGATACCAGAGATTTCTATCGTTATCAATACTAATTATGAAATCAATATCAAACCATCGTTAATCAATTGATAAAATCGATAGCAAAGGAATATATAAAGCTGAAATATGTAACCATCTCTATCATTGCAGTAAACTACCTCCGTAATGTCTTCCAATCTCGTGTTCCTTCTTATATTTGCAGTTGCCGCTTCGGGTAAGTTCCATATATGAACATATTTATCAACACAATTTAGTACATTATTGTAAAATGGGCCATTACACTTTCCTTCAATTAGACGCACTATAACCTACGTATCTTTGCAATTTTAATTTATACTTTTTAATGTTAACATTTATACAAACGTTATCGTTCGCAAGTAAACACCATTTCCATTGGAAAAATTACAACTTCTTCCCTTTCGTGATAATAACTCCGATAAATACGATCAAATTGCATTTACATTTACCAAATCTACTGCTATAATTATTTCGAACAGTTTTTGCATTTCTAAAAGCTTCCAAAAGGGGATTAGACTTCAGAATTACATCTTTCACTGTCTGTAATTGTTTACCATTGACTCTTGCGATATAGAACATAATATATCTCGCAGTTACTGCTTTTACAGCAATGACTTTCATTATCAATCAACATATTTCTATACGTGTCATCTGCTGAACAATAAATGCCTGGTGAATTCTTATATGGTGCTCTTTGATCAATTTCTATCTCCTGATATTATCGATACTAGAAATCACACTTCTTTTTTTTTCTACAAATGAACGTTTTTTTTCGTGCAGCGAGCACCGAGTTTCCGCAGGACTTAATAATTGCCGTCCACGCCGACAACAAGGGAATCATCAATGAAACGCAAAAGCTAGTGGACACACAAATTGACGGGCGAATAGTCGGTGGATTTGACTCCCAACCTGGTCAATTTCCCTATTTAGTGTCTTTTAGAGTAAACAACCAGCACATTTGCGGAGGTTCTATAGTTAATCAGAATAACATCCTCACCGCTGCACACTGTGTAGAGGCCGCAGCATCAAACATAAATGATGCGACTATTGTAACTGGAACCGTTTTTCTTAATCAGGGTGGTAACTCCAACAAAGTGATCTCTATGTATTATTACACGAATTATCCTGGTTATTTAGACTTTGGTGTGGTCAGGGTAAGAATCATTTATGATGTTAAGTGTAGGTACTAAAAATCAATAAAGTGTTATGTTGAGTAACAAGTCCGACGATGGCGATAAAATAAACTTATCAAGTTTAAGCATGCTCTGACGAGTGATTGCGATGGAGTATTTAAATTATCAAATACTAGCTGCCTTCTTACAATTTGTTTAGTAAACGATAACACGTCGTGTACAATTTACGTTGTATTTTGATACATACGTATTTTTGCAGGTTTCCGGCTCGATCGATTACAACAATTATCAACAACCAATACCGCTTGCCACGAATAGGCCACCAGGAAATTCCCGCGCTGTTACAAGCGGATGGGGTTTGACGTCCACTCCTCCAGGAAGTGTTCCTAATGGACAGCAATATTTGTATGTCAATATCATTGACACAGAACAGTGCAGGAGTGTATACAGTGATATAACCACGGAGATCTGTACCTTGAATGCTGTCAACCAAGGTGTATGCAGCGTAAGTATCATGAAACAACTCATTTCGCCATTAGGAAGTCTTATCGCCAAATTAAACGGAATTTAAATCTTCATTAATTACCCATAACAGTAGCGAAATTATATCATGAACTGATCTGTTTCGGAAAGTTGTTGATTGGAAATTTTTTAAAATGGTAACGCTTTAAGTTGTATATTAAGCAACGAATTATAGAAACTCGCACGAACCGATTAAAGAGAATTGGAAACTTAATCGATTCGTTAATAAGATTCGTTTATTGCAGATTTCTGCGAAAGACCCTTATTTCGTATTACAAGATTGGTTAATAGAACTTGTGAGATTTATATTATTAATTCTACTTGTATGTTTCTCTTTTGTTTTTTGCAGGGTGACAGCGGCGGTCCACTGGTTTACAATGGCCAACTTGTTGCTGTCACATCTCGTGCTGTTCTTTGCGCAAAAGGATATCCTGACATTTTCGGCAGTGTCCCCAACAATATGGACAACATTCTCAGACTAATTAATTCAAGTTTCTAGATATTCACTGTACATCCTTTTGTTTATATAACGATTTTATTTAATAATAACAAACTGAATACATCCATAACTGTTTTCCTTTTAATGAAATACACGATACATCAACTTATAATAGGGCACAAGTGTCATCCTTTACAAATACTATTCAATTTATCTTCACCGAATATTTGACTCGCTAAAGAAAGTGTCCGAATACTCGATTATTGAAAAATTCTATAACTAGACCCAATTCTATGTAATATAAATAGCTTCGAAAATTATTTCACCCAACGATAATCAACCCGTTAATGACTGAAGAGATAAGATGCCATAAACTCTAATAATTATCGCACATCGTTTGATGATAACGTATTATCATTTTACGTAGCCAAATTGTGTATCTTGTTCAGTTCGAAACGAATGATACAAATAGACTTATGAATTAAATGAAATTATTTGTCTATGAACGGATGTGGAAAACGACGAAGAATGGAACGATGGTTTTGAACTTCCGATAGAGCCTTCGAACATTATTGAACGTGTTATAAATTAGTGTATCTGAATTGGGAGCAAAGAGATCCATAAAGTTTCGTTTGAGACTCCTTTAACACTAATAATATTTGGCAGAAACATTAAAATATTAAAATTGTAATAATGACTTTTAAAGTGTATAAAGGTGTGACTAATGTAATATCCTAAATTCATTGTTATGACATTTTTAATTTTTAATTTGTCGTCGCAATTATGTAATCGGTTTCCATTATTGTAGCCACAAGCCCATTTACGTCACCGTATGATTTTTAATCAAACATAACTTCTGCAAATATTTACATACTACTGCGTTAAAACAAATGAATAATTAAAACTGATCCATTTAAATACTACTAAAAGTTTAGTAATCGCATTGCATACATGGAAACTTTCCTCTTCAATTAAGTGTAAAGATTTCTTTCGTTATCATTAGTCACATCTGTTACTCAAGGTTCAGGACAAATATCACAGTAGTATATAAACTCTGTCGACACAATGAATCTCACTTTCGAAAACAGTGCAACAAGAATATCAATCATGTTCCGCGATCTCGTTAGTCTTCTCTTACTCGCGGTCATAGCTTTTGGTAAGTGCGTAAAATAGATTTTAACACAAAATACCAGTCGTCGGTTATACTAATCGCTTCTTATGAATCCTGTATTTACATACCTTCCAAACGTACGACAGAACAAATGCTCTTATAAATAATCAACATAAACGATTTAAACGTTTAGGAAATTAGGAAGAAAAATGAGGTCTGCTAAGTTTTTTAAACAGAGTTTAACACCAATTTTTCTTTTCGTCTTAACTCTGTAACTATGCAACGACAAAAAATAATACTCCTCCTTTTTCTTCCCAACGATCGTCCAAAAAGAATTTGTTTATTTTAAACATTTACTTTACAACAAAAGTGAAGTCGATATTTTCGTTAGTTTTTTTGTGTTTCTAACTCTTCTAATAATATTTCTGAATATAGTTCGTTTATATTTCGTTCGTTTAAGGTAACAGGAAGTGTAAAAAAAGAATTCGAAAAAGAGGAACTGAACGCTTCGCGTTGATGTCCTTTTTGTGAAATGGCCTTTTTCATTTTCAGTAAGCGCCGATGACACGGAGAAGCTGGTCGGCGCTCACGATGCACAGCCTGGTCAATTTCCCTACACCGTGTCCATCAGATTACAGAATTCGCACATTTGCGGTGGTTCCATTATCAGCGATCACCACGTCCTTACCGCTGCGCATTGCGTGAAAGACCTCATTGACTATATAAGCGAAGTGTTTGTCGTCACTGGTACTATCTACCTTGACCAGGGTGGCGAATTCCACACAGTGGCTAACATGTTTGCTCACCCGCAATACAATGGCGACACGAACGTCGACAACGATGTTGGTGTAGTGAAGGTGAGAGTCAATCTTGAGATTCAATGTTCCAATAAGAATAAAACTCACTCGAAATAGAACGCAAAACTGCACCAGATAATCTGGTGCTCGTTGCCTTATTTTGATGACGTTATACGCGAATCACAATATCATTTAAAAAGAAAGTAGAAAAAGAACGGAGGGATCGGTCAAGCGCTTGCGAGAGAGACAAAAGCGTAGCCCTCTGGTGACAAATACGGGAGGTGATGTCAAAAAGTGAATATACGATAGTAGCTTCGAGATAACAGTTTGTGGTTTGTTGGAATAAACAAGAGACTCGGTAAATAGTTTCAGCAGAAGCGTGGTACCATCTTCAGGCCACAATGGAATTTTATTCGAATAAAAATGATTCGATCGAACTATTCGTTCAACGCTAAGCATCGTTCGGTTTCATAATTGAGATTAGAATTTTTATCAAACAAATAACGCATCCATATGTATCTTGCACTCGGAGACTTTTCTTCGTCCACCTGTTACCAACTCAAACACACTTTCTTACGAAATAGATAGTAAATGTCCAAGTGAACGTATCTTTTCTTTACGTTAAAGTAATAATATCGTTGCGTATCCTTAGAATGGCAATCCAAATTCTTTGCTGGATATCCCTTCAGAGGGGACAGCCGAGTGCAAAGGGTTCATATAAGAATTTTGCTTACGTCAATGGATTCTAACACCAACTTGAATTTTTGCAGCTAATTCTCCCCATCGTTTTCAACGCGGTCCAAATGGCAATCCCACTTCCCACTGCAGACCCACCCGCGAATAACTACGCTGTCATATCCGCATGGGGTGGTACGGCTTCTCCCCCAAACGACACCCTTTCTAACGTACAACAGTACCTGTACCTCTGGATGATCAGCTTAGACGAGTGCAAAGAATACAAGAATCTCGACGTTCAAACTAACGCGATCTGTACTTACGATGGAGTAGGCGTCGGCTTATGCCCCGTAAGTATTAACAAACTCGCATTACTATTTTTACAAGGCTCGTGATCCTATATATTACAATCTTAACCCTGTAGACACTTTATTAGTCGAACTGAAATTTAGAAATTTTAAAAATTTATGTATCTCGAGTTTAATTGTAGAAAATTACAACGAAATTTAAAATATTGACATGTTTTATGAGAGGACTTTGATTATTAAGAAACATTATTTTAAACGAGCCATTTTAAAACGAGTCAGAGAAAAGACAAATTTAAGAACAGCCTAATAAAATGTGCAAAAAATTGGGCTTTGGCTTGCAATTTGTAATTGTCTCCTAATTTGTCTTTTTCAGGGTGACAGTGGCAGTCCATTGGTCTACAATAACCAAGTGGTCGGTGTTGTGTCTCGCGGTGTTCCTTGCGCCCGTGGAGAACCCGATGTTTTCACCGACGTCTACGACACCCTCGATTTCATCCGCCAAGCGATGCTGTTTTAATTCGTACTAGCGATGCTGACAGTGTACTTCATTATTTTTCAACGCCCACAAATATATTTTTTGTTCATTAATTGTTACATTGTTCGACATAGTTAATGGTTATACATGTAAGATGATGTATTGTTTGGCGCGTTGTCAAAAGTAAACGTCAATGTTGAGAGTCTCTATTTATAATTGCAAGTATTTTTTTTTAATAAAATCTTTGGAAACATTACGTGGTGGATCGTAAAAGGTGAAGAAGGAATTTTGCGTTTTAGGTAGCCAAGTACCCGAGTTATCGAACCGTGAATATTTTAGTTATCGATATAAGGGTTAAGTACAAACAGCAAGGCGTTGAGCAGGATACGCGTTATTATCAAGGAAATAAGTGATTTTATCGGATATTTTGTTCCGATACGTTCGCAGAAATAACACCACGAGTACAGACATCGCGTGAGTCAATGATATACAGCAGAGGTTCCATAATGGGCCCCGCAGACGAGTGGGCCTATCTGGCTGACCCACACAGTCTGCCATACCAAAGACGGCGAGGACAGTGGAGCAGTGTCGATGACGTCATCATCCTCTGACGACAATAATTAATCTCATTACGTAGCCGTATTCACAGATTAAATCGTACGCTGAAGCGATCTTATCGAAGAACTGAAAATTTCGATCCAAGAAAATTGGAATGCAATTTCGTGCAACTGTTTCATAGTTTCGATAAGGAATTTTTTCCTCGAAAGTGCGTAGGATTTCGGGGGCATGTCTATTCGCCAAAAATGATTGTAATTATCCCCTGCGACCGAAAATAATTTTTCCAGAATGATTTGTAACTTTTTAATTTTGTTGACAAATTTATGTCCACCTACTCGAATTTTTTTCTCGAAAATACGCAGGATTTCGGGGATATGTCTATTCCCCACTAGCTAGAAATAATTTTTTTAGAACGATTTGAAATTTTTTTTTTTGACGAAAAATTTAGACACCTACTCCCTGTCGATTTTCCTAGGGTGTCTTAAAACGTGTATTTCCGTAAGAAAAATTTCACAAAATTGTTTTCATTGTAGTATCTTGCTTATGTTCGTTTACATACATAGGTCGGGAAAGAAAAAATATCTGGCCAGTCGAGACTTGGAATTTCAGTTGTTCAAGTGCGAGAAGACAAATGAGCCTTCCTCTCTCGACTCCCACGAGACGGTCCGAAATTACTTCGGGCAGCTTCGGAGAAAAGAGAAAGGGGGCATGTGTCAGTTTGTCTTTGTCGACTCTCCGAAACTCCACGAGCTCGCGTACGCGTGATCTGGCATAGTGTGAGTAGTGCACCCGGTGCTCAATCTGGCATCACTGCTTCAGAGAAAAGTTTCATTGTAATATATTCACTATTGTAGGTGTTATGGTCGTTTGAAAATTGCGTTTTTTAATCCGTTCGATAGTCAACTCACATGTACTTATTTACGCACCCCCGTACAGCTGCTGTCCATAAATGCTAATTCGGTGTATAGTTTGTCAACTGACCGCCATCTGTGAGAAGAGGACGCTAAAATCGCCTTCGAATTTTCAGGTCGGTATGGCAGTCAGATTGAGCCACGAAAGTCCATAAGGTGAAAGGTCTACTCGTATAACTCGTATGTGATATTATCTATATCACCCATTTAATAAAAGTTTATGTTTTAACGAATCAAAATACTGACCACGAAAAAAATCAGTACTCTTATAGCGCGCTCTACGTTTAAGGACAATAACTTTGAGAATTATATCGACATCGGTAACGTCAGCAAATTCACGAATTTTGCTTCTGATACGATATCGACATAAGTTTTAATCAACAATTATTTACGTATTGTACGGCCGTATGGTTCTAAAGTCAAAATACTTTTACCACAAACGAGGTATACAAGTAGACTTTTCACCTTATGGACTTTCGTGGCCTAATCTGACTGCCATACCGACCTGAAAATTCCGATGTGAATTCAGCGTCCTCTTCGCATGGATGGCGGTCAGTTGAGAAACTATTCACTGAATTAGCATTGATAGGCAAACAGCTGTGTTGCGTAAATCATGTGAGTTGACTATGGAAGAGATTAAAATTCATTTCTGAATCTATTGAGACTCGTATACCTCGTCTCTGGCAATACTCTAGAATCTTTGATGAATCAATTAGAATCAAAACTAACCTAGCGAAGAAGCTCTACATTTATGATGACCTATGCACAGCGGATCGCAGCCAATTTGCTAATATTATTTAGATTTTAATTAATAATTGCATTACCCAGCTAAAAGTGATACGATTATTAATTAAACGGTAAATAATATTACCCAGGTCTCGCTACGTGGAGGTTGCTACGAATGGAGGCCCGCCCTAACCGATTCCCAACCACCCTCCATTAATTAAGTTCTTCTGTGACCAACGATCGTTGATCGAAGAAGAAACAAACGAAAGTGCAACCAATGAAGAGAGTTGAAAGAGTTTTCAAAAGAATTTGTCTTCGAATAAAAATAACCTGCCTAACTATAAATCTAAATTCGTTTATTGTATCAAGAAACAATTCTAAATTCGCAGCCATTAGCTCGGTGTTGCCCACGATAGAAAATCTTTTTTATTGTGGGTAACACCGATTACCAGGTCTCACCACGTGGAGGTTGCTGCGAGTGGAGACCCGAAGGGAGATAGATGGAATCAAAGTTCCATCGATCTCCCTTTTAGCTAAGCTTAGCTGGATTACTAAACTAGAGAGATAGAAGGAAGCAATGTTCCTTCGATCTTCTGGTTTAGTCGTGCCAAGTAATTATTTCGTTTAAAAGGGTACGAAGCTAAATTATGGGATACGCGACGCGACGCGATGCTGAACCGTGCAGCAGATCTTCGGATCGAATCAACACTGCCCTTGGTAGATTGATTCCTATTTCTAGCAATCGATCTATCATGGGTAGGCGACTTGATCTATCGGACAAACTGGACGGCCGATCACATGTTTCGATCGACGAAACAGCGGTGACCGAAGCAAGAAACGAGAGAACGAGTCGAGAGAAGCTACTTGTTAAGTAATTACTTGGCAGTATTGGGAGACGCATACAACAGGGACGTAAAATTAACGTCGAAGCTCAGGTCTGGTCAAGTTAAAACTAAAGTTCGGACGATAGAAAGAAACAAAGTTCCTTGGATGTACCAAGCAATTATTTGGTTAAAAAGAGGGACGAAGTTAATTTGAGGGACACGCGACGCGACACGACGCGACGCGAAGCTGAACCGTGCAGCGGATCCGAGGATCGAACCTACTGCCCTTGCTAACTAGATCTCTACAGGATAACGGACGGCTGCGACTCCGAATCTAAGGTCTCCATTGCTCCAACGCAACCCGCCGGGAGCCCGAAGGACCCGACTCAAGTTGTCTGACAAAGAGAGAGTACCTCTGTTTCAGTGTCGACTTCCGCTGGAAGGTATGCGTTTCCGCAGGATACGGAAACTCCACACCTTCCAGCAGAGTACCATTTTCCCTGGATCTAGCTACCAAGGGAAGCCGATTAGATCTTTCGGGCCAGATACACGGCCGATCACATGTTTCAAGCGATGAAACAGCGGTGACCGAAGCAAGAAACGAGATAACGAGAGAAGAAGCTACATGTTTTTAATAATTGCTTGGTAGAGCGCGGTGATACGTAATAATAAAGAAATCTTCGACGTTAATTTTAAGATTCGCGACGAAGCTTAAGACTAATCGACTTGGAATTAAAAGTCCTTCGACGGTTGTGGCGTCCTCCCTCGATGTCCTTGCGATTAATCCAAATGTAAACTGAAATCAAAACTAATATTTATATTAGTGAGATATGGTAAGAATTTTAATATACACTTAAAAATGATCTATCACCCTGACTAAAGGGAATTGAACAGAGTGTATTAGCAAAATATTACAAGAATTTAAGCTGAACCGTAAAAATAAAAATCTTATATTAATCGGTGCCATGCATCGACACAATGTTGTACGTATCAAAACGAATATTCGTAATAATGAAAGAAACATGGATCGAGACACCAAGTTGAATCAACAGCAAACAATCAAACGAAATGGAAGAATCGATGAAAGAAACATGGATCGAGACACCAAGTTGAATCAGCACCAAACAATCAAACGAAATGGAGGGATCAAACGAAGTACCTCCGTAGAATATTACGAGAATTCGAGCAAGAACGTAAAAATGAATATTCACGAGATTGTATAGAAACAAATACAGTATATGATTGAAAACAATATTACATTATTATATCAACAAATGTAAAAGTAGAAATAAAGAAAAGGAACATTCATAATAACCAAATAAAATCAGATAGATAAATAAAGTTGAATTCGCATCAAGCAAACAAATAAAAATAATAAAATATAAATAAGTGGAGTGGACTTACTACTTGTTGTCAGTACATAGGATAGTTACCACTGGGCCAGCTGTAAAGTAAGAAATATTCATATTATAGCAACGTCGGTTGGGCAAGCAACGCAAAATCAGTTTATTCAAGCGAAATTGGTATCAAACGATAGAATAGAAGAGGGGAGAGAATTTTTAAACAGTTCTTACCGTTGGTCATCACCGTCCGGCACTGGTCAGCAGTGGTCAGTAGTGGTCAGTAGTGGCAGGAGCGCTAGCCAGAACTGGTCAGTAGTGGTCAGTATTGGTCAGTAGTGGTCAGCGTTGCCCAGTAGTGGTCAGCAGCGGTCCCCGGTTCACTTCAGGCTATTTGCCCACTCCCGAATTCGCGACGCGACTGAAGAATGCTTCGCAGTGATCCTGCTTATCTGTCTAAGGTGATGAAAGGGTGGGGAGACCAATCAGAGCTAAAGTTAAAGTTAATAGATAAGACTGTCTTGTCTACAAAGTAACTATTTCGATTGATCCCACCTCTTGACCATTTCTGGATCTTCACTGGACCGCTGACCTTGATGTCGACCTCGCTGTTGACCATCAGTGACCATAAGTTAGTCATTGTTGATCATCGACTCATTAAAACCATTACGAAGATTAAAGCCTTCCTACGCGGATCCCCTTATAATTTGATGCATCATCTTTTCAACATTTCGTTCCACTTTGGAAGAATGTATCTTGTTAATTTTTGGAAAAAATTCGGAGGTGATTTTAGCGTCCTCGTCAGTTGAGAAACTATTTACTGAATTAGTATTGATAGGCAAACAGCTGTAGTGTTGCGTAAATCCATGTGAGTTGACTATGGAAGGGATTAAAATTAATTTCTGAATCTGTTGGTAACGTTGCGAGTGACACGTAGATGGTAATGGGACTCTAGAGCTTGATCCTCAAAATAAGAATCTGGAAAAACAAACGCGAAAAGCTTTCATCATTCGTAACGCTAAATGGAACTATACAATTAATACAAATTATTTGGAACTTTAACTAAACAAAGAACTACAGGCTGTTTGCCTACCATACCAATTCAGTAAATAGTTTCTCAACTAACCGCCATCCATGAGAAGAGGGCGCTAAAATCGCCTCTTAATATTTAGGTCGGTATGACAGTCAGTTTAGGCCACAAAAGTCCATAAGGTGTAAAGTCTATTCGCATACCTCATCTGTGGTACAACTGTTAACTGTAACTAAAATAATGCTGCTTTATGTTTCATATATTTTTACATATTTGATTAAAAGTTATAGATGGGAGGAAACTATTCTGGCCCTCAAAACCTCCAGTGCATACGCCACTGTATTCCTTTACCCAGAGACTAGAATACCGATAACTACCAGAGAATTCTATAATTTCATAGTATCTATTTCCATTGATCGAATCTACAATTTTAAATGCATGTTATGTTGTTAAACTGAATGTAATTATTTTTACGAATCTGTAAATCAATAGTGAATAGACTATACGTATATGTCCAATATCTAAATAAAAAAATATTTATAAATATTATCTATACCAAGATTATAATGTTCTTATTCTTGATATAAACATAATTTAAATTACATATTACAAATTTTTTATTAATTTAAAGTATATCAAATAAATTGCATTATTCTGTAACGCTAATAGTAAAGATCAATAGTGGTTAATTTTAGCAATTAATTCCATACAGGGTTCTTTGAAAAACGGAATACTGAAATTCATAGTAAATCATTTCTATTACGACAACAATTCACTGCGCAATAATTCGTCATCTTCTCGCTATTAATTATGAAAATTAAACGATAAAAACGGAATTTAAATGCGAAAGTAATATGTTGAAATCCCCGCTGCGTATGAGAGTAGGAGAAGACCGTAAAACTGACAATGGCGTCGAGTGAAACTTCTGTATCTATCATTATTCTGTGGTCCCAGTCATTCGTTCACCGTGAGTCGTTTCAGATTTGAGATAGTAAAAATTATTGCTGGTCGAACGGTGCGTAATCATTTTGGCGTCGTTGCTTTCTAGTTTTACCACAGAATTAAAAATCATGTCTAAGAGCAAACTTCACCATCAAGTTGACAGCAGTATTGTCGCGGTGAAAAGTAAAGTAAGCTACTTTCTAATCGCTTTAATATTACCACTTTGCCTTTTCATTGTCAAATAAAGAGAAACTGATCGTTTCTTGCTACGATATTCTCAGATATTTATATTCCACCACTTTGTTTTATTTAACGCTTCTACCTACGAATGACTTTAATTATTTATTTTTTTTTTTTGTATCAGTTTGATGCTGACATTATAAGATTTTCAATCAACCGTAATGAAGCCATTAGTTACGAGGATTTTAGAAAATTATTGGCCGAACGACATGACATAGGTCCAGATTTGAGTTTTCTTATTTGGTATACAGATCCAAATGATGGTGATTTATTACCCATTAATAATGACAACAACTTGGCAAGAGCCTTGCTTGCTGCTAAACCACTTCTTAGAATTTTTATACAAAGAAAGGGTAAGATGATTCTTCAATAAGTAATTATGAGGTACAAATACAAATGACATGAATATGTATGATATACATATATATAATATATATATATATATATACATATATATCATTTTCTTCTGTTTTCATATGCGATAACATTTATTAATACAAATGTTTTTTAACACATTGTGGTCCATCTGCAGATTAAGCCAATTCATGTTGTAAATAATGTAGTACTTTGTTTAAGGTCAGGTATTAATTAAATGCCTGACGGTTAGGTGTAAATTTTGCACTGTCGTTCAATGATATTGATAAAACACATCATGAGTATAAGCACAATGATCGAATATCATTAATGGACTGCAATTTGTTAATAACATGTTGCTAAGATATTCACATTATTGCACATCAAATTTAGTTATTTTATATAATAGGGGATGGATTGGAAGACATAAATGGATATGGAACGATGAAACCAAAAAATCTAATATCGAGTATTCTTGGTGGCACACCTGGAAAACCAAAATCATTGGCTATATCTAACCCACACGATTTTAGGCAGGTATGTCTTACCTATGTAACTTCAACTTATATAAACTTTAATGCAAAATATATTTACTATGTAAATTTTATTTTACGATAACAGGTATCTGCAATAATTGATGTAGATATATTACCAGAAACTTGCCGTCGTGTACGTCTGTTGAAACATGGTTCTGATAAACCATTAGGATTTTACATTAAAGATGGGGAAAGTTTTCGAATTCTGCCACCTTCTGCAGGAGGTGGTATCGAAAAAGTTCCGGGTGTGTTTATCAGTAGATTGGTACCAGGTGGCTTAGCCGAAAGTACAGGTCTTCTAGCAGTAAACGACGAAGTCCTTGAAGTAAACGGTATAGAGGTGGCTGGAAAAACTCTTGATCAGGTAAGTGTAATCATTAATTTTGTAACTCTCTAGCCAAGGTTAAACCAAAGTTTATCGTAACATTTTTATAACTTTACTTACATATTTAATGTAATAGGTCACAGACATGATGATCGCGAATTCTTCAAACCTAATAATCACAGTAAAACCTGCAAATCAACGAGCGGCATTAACCGCTCCAAGACGTGGATCATTCTCACGAAATAGTCAATTGTCTTCTGGAAGTCATCAATCTACGCAAAGTGCAGCAACCGGCAGTGATGAAGATGCAGACGAAATTGTAGATTTAACTGGTGTAACACTGCAAGATGATGCAGCAACTTCTACTTCTCAACATCATCACTACCATCACCATCACCACCATCAAAACCATTTTAGTCACGATCAAGGCGTTCTACACTTATAAATGGCATATAACAGAGATTTCAATTTACCATGCTCAATTGAATACAATTGGATATTCATCTACAAAAAGGAGACATTTAGGAATAGGTATGAAAATATAGCATGACAATAAGAAGCTGAATTAGTGGAGCAGATGAAGCATTACAGAGTCATGTGGTAATCATTTTATGAATCTAATTATAATTTAGCTTATGACACGGAACAAAAATATGCTATTTATGTCGAAGTTATATTTTTACAGAAGATTTACACTAGTGCCTTTTAACATAATCACATTGGAACCACTATTTAATACTATGGATCAAACTTACTCCGTTAGTATTCACTTCAAATTTAAACATTCAAAACGGAAAACAGCTTTCAAAATTAGAACATATTGAGAAATATACTGAAAATACTTCTTAGATAAAATAATTTCATTAAAAAGCTACTATTTTTCGGAGTTTGTACTTGTTCAAAGATTCGTAGTCTTTGTTTCAATGATTTTTACAGTAAAAAGTATTAGACTGTTAAATTGGTTTGAAACATAAAAAAATACTACTAAACATACAAGACAAAAGACATGGATACAATTTATAAAAAAGATAGAATTAAAACTGCGCATTAATACTTTGTTTCATATTGTTCACGTAATATTTTCTGTTTATTTGGATGAAAAATCTTTTAATATAGACAAAAATTCCTCTTTAATCTTTTTATGTGAACTGTTTGAACAAAGTGTGTATGTGCGTATATGTATAAAGATAGTGATATGAATATTGACTGTGCATAAAAGTATTATTGGAAGGCAGCAATGTTTTTGAAGTATTAAAACAATATTTCTTAGTACTTAATATTTGAAACCTAAAGTGTACTTAATAAGAATGAAATGCCCTGTGGAAAAAGATACGATTTCAAATGTAAGGATTTCCTATCTTTATAATGATCATGTTTTACAGTTTTACATATTAATACATAAATTGAAACATGATTTATCATTACTTTCATTAGGATTTTATTCATCGCTTCATAATGTATTCATTTTTTAATCGATTTTGATGAATTTTTTGTGTATATAATGCAAATAATGAAATTCAATAACTTAATTTATCGTTATAAATAGAGGCCCCCGTTCAATAATGGAAATGTATATAATAATAATAATGATAAGAATGTAAGAAGGTGAAATGCTAATACAAACATTTCATTTTTAATCAAACAAGAGTAAAAAAGAAAATGAGTGGCCTTATGTTTACATCATTCCAAATATTTTTTGCAAAGATGCAAAATAGGAATTATTCTATTATAATGCATTCTGACACGTCTATTCGTGTATGTATTCTGTTTATTCCACTGCATGTTTAGAGTGTTGAAGTTTTTGAATTTTAATTCCATTTTTATAAATGTTATTTGTTGTCTAATTGAGCACTAGATATTAAAGTATAATGTACTTTACAAATTTTAGGTGTAAGAGGAATTTTAAAGGATAAGAAACGTATTTATATAGATGTAAAATATTTTCATTACATATTTGTGCCTTCATAGTTTCGTCTATGATTATAAAACTGGATTGTGATAAAGTATATCGCATTCCATTTATATAGTATTTTTGTAGTGCAAAAAAAAAAAAAAAATACACAATGTCTCGCTCGTATGTATTATTATTTTAAAAAGAAACGTATGAAGCCTTTATAGTTATACATTAAAACATTTTCATACATCTTTAATCATATTTTCTTCATAAACTGGCAAAGATATAATGTACATAAACAAAAAGATAAGAATCTTATTATAATACAAGTATAAATTGACTTCCATCTTACAATATTTTAATTGCCAAACTAGAAAAATACGTTTTCATTTTTCTGTAATAATTTCCAATATTATAGATTTTATTTCATGTTAATTATTCCAAATATAAATGAAATACATAAAGAAATGAAACAAAGTATTTTGTAATAACGATATTTATCTCATAAAGCATTACAAAAACCAGAATTCCTGTAAATGAAGGGTATAAAAAAAATATATTTTAAAAAATTATGCAATGAATCGATATATGATTTTGTAATTGGAATTTTCTAATTACAAAATTATACTTGTTCTCTGGGAAGAAGATGTACTCCAATATTATAAATCGGTAGCATTTTGTACTTAAATAAAATATTTATATATTAGTAAATAATTGTGTTATATTCGTGAGTTATCAATTGAAATATAGTTACTGTGCTGTATTTCAAGGTATATTAAATTAACGAAGTTTATACTACTATTGTATTTTGTAACACTGGTATAAACCAAACATTACAAAATACATTACTTATTTGTAATAGTATAACTCTTTTTAATGGCAGCTTATAAAATAAAATATTTTATTCTATAAACAATTTAGTTTTATTAGTCACCTTTTATGTAATTCTTAAAATTAATCATTGTTTTCTGATGGTTACCATAGTATACAAATAGAAACAACTAAATGAATAATATGATTTGTTTTGTAAATTATATTTAAAAAAAAAAAATGTTAAACTCTTTCAATTAAAAGAGTTATAGACTGAACAGAATTGGCACTAAATATAAATACAAATGATAATAAATATAAATTGATACTGAATATAAATACAAGCAACCAATATGTCTTATGCAGAACATGGTCCTCGAATTTTCTTAGCTGGGAGACCGAACACTGGAACACCATTGATATATGGTGACTACGTTTTGCCAAGAAAACGACTAGAAGGTCGATTAAAATTGCATGATTCTTGTTCAGATATTAGAGCCTGGAGTCCAAATTCTTTGGAAAATTCTCGCTATTTTCGCGAACTTAGTGAACATGATTCACTAGTATGTACTCGATTAAACACATAATTATCCATACTAGCTTAGAAACTTACATGTCTGTAATTTTGTTATCACAGGTAGGAAAAATAGTACCATTCAACGTAGTGATTGATAATATAATTCAATTCAATTCGCAAACACAAAATGAACTCCGGGCGGTTAAACGAGAATTGCAAAACTATAAAAGTCTTAGACTTACTCCAAAACAGGAAGAACAACTACAACATTTAGTGAGTAACTTTATAAATACATTTAACCATTTTAACAGCTATTTAATAATTTTATATTGTTTTTCATAGGATCGTTATCAGAAAATGAAGGAATCATTGCAGAGCGATCATATAATGGGAACACTTTTAAAAGATGCATTTGCCAATGTTACTAAATCTATTCCTGTGATTAATTCAAATTCATATTTGTCTGTTCGTATGCCTTCTGAAAAGCATTTTCAACTTCTTAAGAAAGATAAATCAACTATTACAAATCAGACCAGTCAATTATACTCTTATGCTGTAACTGCATTTAACATAAATCCATCCTCAAATAATGTCGCCTTAGTGCCATCAATTAGATCTACTCTTAAAGCATCCCCTACCGGAGGTACAGTAAAAAAATATTTACAATCTTAACAATATCCTCAATTTTAATTTGACTTTTGATTTTTATAGATTACAGTAAAAACCCATCAAGCTGCATAGAGTACATTGATATAGCTTTACAGGTAGGTAAACTACATAAATATATCTTCTAATATTATTGTAATATTATATAGATGAATTTTTATTGCAGGTGGAACAAGAAATGCATGATGTTGGAGTACAGTTTGATGGTCAAACCGACACATATTTAAATAGAATAACGACTACATCTGTATGAATATATTTGTGCATTTTACTATTTAAATAAGATGCTTATGTAAATGTTATTATATAGGTAGTGTCTCAAACATCATTCGTATATAAGTCTAGCGACGAAGATAACAGTGCGGAAGAATCCGACAAAAGCAGTTTGGAGACAAATAATCAAAAGGAACAGAGCTTTGAATGCGATGCATCTTGTAGCGAGAGTTTACAAGATATTGAAACTCCATCAGAGTCTAGTAGCGACATAGAAACAGAATCTAACTTTAACATACATGGTAGTAATCATAAAGGGATTATCATTCAAAAAGATTCCGAAATTATTGTTTTGAAGAATGAACTTTGTGTATGAAACATATTCTATTAATGAATGATTTATTTACGTAATAGTCATAGTTATATTTTATCGTTTCTGTGATGCTATATATTCAGTATCATATTTAAAGGTAAGGGATGCTGAATTAGAGGAGATACGAGATATAAATAAGAACTTAGAGACTTTATTGAAGGAAAAGGAAGATTGTATAAACGGTCAACAAGATAATGTTAAAGCAAGTACACAGAATGTAACTTTAAGATCTAATGTAAAATGGTGACATTTTATGAAAGTATTGCAGATAATTGATGCCTAATGATTATTACATAGATACTACATGATAAGCTGAAGAAGTTAGAGCACCAACGTAATTGCGAAGTAGAAGATTTAAAAGCAAAAGTAATGTACATATATTTGAAATTTTACTTGATTTTCTCTAAATCTAATTTATCAGAATTTCTTTGAACCCTCTCTTTCAGTTTTATGGTTGTAAATATTTAGTTGATCAACTCAAGCAAGACTTAAATAAGAAGTGTGAAAGTTATTACTTGCAGTCACAAGAAATTGAAAAGCTCAGGCCATATGTTAAAGAAGTGACGATATTACGATTAGAAAAAGATTCACTTTTAGTTAGTAATTACATATATTTAATACCATAATATTTATTTTCAAATAATGCAATTTTATTTATTCATTTTATACCATAGAAGAAACTACAAGAAATGAATCGACTAACTGAACAAGCTGAGAATTATGATTTGGCGTTAGAACGATTAAAAAATGTCTTACGAGAAAATGATGAGCTTAAAAAACAAAATTATGAACAGAGCCGCATTCTGGCAGATCAAGAAGAAGAGATAAAGCGATTACTAATATTAATTAGAGAAACGTCAATTACACATGATGAACAGGTATATTACATCACATTACCATGTATGCTGATAGTGCAAATATATTACTATTTAATTATTATGCTTTATGTTTTGATTAATAATTAGGTGAAGACAAAAACCATATTAGAGAATTTAAAAGCTAATATTCATGATAAGACTATTAAAATTTCTCAATATGAAGAGCAATTAATTTCTATGAAACAAGAAATCAGTGATTTTGTCAATAATTTAAAGCATGCTCTAAACAATCTGGAAGAATTCCATGGATCATTTGAAGATGTGTGTATTTGTACGAAATGTGACTTGGACATTAATGAGGAAGCAAATACTGTACTGTACAATATAAATGTCCTAATGACAAGATTTCAAAGTTATAAAATAGAACGTCAGAATCTTTTACAACAAATAGAAGATTTAAAGCATTATGTAAAAAATGATAAACAGCAAGCTTGCTTAAGTAAAAATTTGAAGAATATAATATTTGATGGCTTTTACTGTGAATCTGAAACAAATTCGAAAGAAAATACAAGTAAAATTAGTCCCTAAACCTTATTTTTTTAAACCATATATAAGTTTCTTAGAATTTAAGTAGGGGAAATTGATGTTATTGACTTTTGAGAAGTTTATACAATAATATTAATAAATATTTAATATTACTTAGGTGGAAAGGACAATATAATTTTATTGAATGTAAGAGGAAATAAAAATGATGCAAGCAAATCAGAAATTGAAGATATCTCTAATTCTGATAATAGTGAACATTTATCGAATGAAGTAATTGATAATGTAAATTTTTGTCTACTTAAGAATCTAATATTTTAATTAATTTTATATTTCACTGTAAAATAAATAATCGCAAGTTTTATTTAATAGGAATATCACAATTATGTTATCAAGTTGAATAAGAAAAGTAATATAGATGAAGTGGAGAAAGAGATCATTGAATATATTTCATATTCTCTAATTAAAATCCATTCGCTTATTCAAAAGTTACAAGTATACATAGAAATTGAACGTCCTTTGATGATTAAACAAATTTACAATTTTTATGAAGTGCTTAGAAATACAGAATCAGCTATTAACACTTCTCAAGGTATTATTAATTTGCACTTTAATGAATTTACATTAATTTCCATATGCTAATGATTTCATTAGATATTTCAATGAGAAAACAACGAATTGCTGAATTATACAATCAGCATAAAGAGGAACATAAGAAATATAAATCTTACAATAAACAATTACCCAATAATTTGTTTCAAATACAAATTAAGATAAATGAATTTATTGAAACAATTCTTTATCAACTATTAAATGAAGTAGTATATGTAGAAAGCCAAAGTATGTCTGATAAGCAGATAAATCAAGCTTTTGAAATACATCTCAAATCTTGCATTGATAGAATAAATGTAGCCCTTCAAGGTATAACTTTTCGATATTTTTGTTATGTTATATTCTATTATACTTGTGTAATTATTATAACAATACATAAAAGCAACAGTTTCTTTCCCCTGGCACAAATTATAACTTAATATTTAGAAACGTTATTATCAAGGTGCTGGCGATCAGCGTCTGCAAGTAGTTGAGGAAATCGAAAAGCAACAAAAACAACTACAGAAAAAGGATTTAGAAATTTCTCAACTGAAGGAAGAAATGGCGCATTTAACACAGAAAGGGGAAGGTGATTGTCTAAATCAAGAGGAATCCAAACAGAGTGCTGCAATAAAAGAAGAATTATCGAATGTAGCTGCGGAACTTAATGCAAAGAAAGCATTTATCTCGAAATTAGAAGAACAGCTTCAAATAATTAGAAACGAATTGTCCGTATGCGAGAAAGATTGCAATGCGCTTAGAAAACAGAAAAAAACTTTTGATAATGATAAAAATAAATTATTAAAAGACTGTCTACAGTATAAAAAACAATTGGAAATTAAAAATACAGAATTCAAAATTTTGTCACAGCAGCATCGAGATCTAATAGAAGCTCAAAATTCGAGAACAATTATGGAAGACAAGAATATAGAAATGAAGAAGAGGTAATATGATTTTCATTTTTAATCGATATTTAATATTATTTTCAGTTGCTAATGTATATTATTATTATTGCAGATTGATTGATCTAGACTTTGAAAATAACGAATTGAAAAAGAAAGTTATACAAGTAAATGAGATACTTTCTCAGAAGGATGAAATTCTAACAAACTTAAAAAATAAAGTTAATGAAAATGAGAACACTTTATCACAGAAAATTACCGAACACAAAAACGGAATGGAAGAAAAACGTTACGAAATTACAAAACTAAAAGACGAAAATAGAATGTTAAATACAAAATTAAAAAACACTGAGAGTAAACTTGCAGACACAAACCAAACAATTTTATCTTTAACAGAACAAAATGATAAAATTGATATCATATATTTATTGCAAGAAGAACTTGCAAAATTAGATAAAAATGAAAGAAAATTGAAAGCAGAGCTTAATAACTTGAAAGCACAACATGCCAATGATCAAAATAAGAATAAGCAACTTGATAATAATTTAAACGCATTGTTGTATGAGAACGAGAATTTAAAAAAGAATACGGAATATTTGAAAAATGAAAATGCTGAATGGTCAATTAAACTCGGCAGTGAATTGTTTGAAGAAAAATTAAGAAACAAATTATACACAATTTCTAATAATCTATATGAAAGATTATTGATGCTTAACAAACAATTTCATCCTGCAAAAGATTTATCAAATCGTCCATCTAATGAAAAACAGAATGATAAATACACAGTTAATAAAATAGTATTTTACATAACGCTTATAGTTTATTATTAATTATTAACGTATTTGTTTTATTCGTAGATGTATCAAAATAAAAGAATGGAATTTGCATTGCATAATATAAATGACGACTTGAAGCCGGAATGCGGGCATGCAAAAAGAGAAAATGAGATAGAAAACGTTCAAAATCCGCAACACTTGTGCAATACAAATACAGAAAATGAAATATTAAAAGACAATTATGTAATATCTAAACAATTGCATTCTTCAGAAAATCACAGTCCAGAGATGAAGTACAAAATAAATCGCTTAGAAAATGGAACTGATGAAAATCGAAATGAAATTGAAAAGTTATTAAACGAACTGGAAATTAGAGATTCTGAAATAAGTAATCTTAAGGATGCTCTGAGCTGCTTAGCACAAGAAAAAGTTGATCTTCATGTTGAACTTAAAGTAGTTATTACTTATACATGTATAATATTATATATTAGGAAAAATTTTAATGGGAGATTCTAGGAGCCAAAATAAGACGAAAATCAAGAATACCAATTTGTTGATCGAGGCTTCGTTAAAAAGTTATTAACGTTTAAAGTTCCGCCTGTAGAACGGCAATCTGTGAACAGCTATGTGCGCGTGAATAGTGGTTCTCACTAAGCATAAGAAACTCTACTTACTGACGTATCGAAAGCCATACAGTTTTGTGAGTGAGAACCACTACCACGCGTGTGCATGAATTCGAATAGGTGTGAAATTTTTCGGCGAAATTGAAAAATTTCAAATCGTTCTAAAAAAATTATTTTCAGTTGCGGGGGGTCAATTGCAATCACTTTTGGTGGATACACATACCCCCGAATTTCTACGCACTTTCGAGAAAAAAATTCGAGTAGGTGTGAAATTTTTCGACGAAATTGAAAAATTTCAAATCGTTCTAAAAAAATTATTTTCAGTTGCGGGGGTCAATTGCAATCACTTTTGGTGGATACACATACCCCCGAATTTCTACGCACTTTCGAGAAAAAAATTCGAGTAAGTGGACAAATTGCCGTTCTACAGCCGAAACTTTAAAAGTTAATAACTTTTTAACGAAGCCTCAACCAACAAATTGGTATTCTTGATTTTCGTCTTATTTTGGCCCCTAGAATCTCCCATTAAAATATTTCCCAATGGCCGAACACCCTATATAATAAATTCCTTTATTTAATACTGACAAAATTGTCGTATAGTCTCAAATAGAAGAATATCAAGGTAAGTTAACACTAATGAAAAGAAACTACGATAGCAGTTTAAATGCACTTTGTGAAAGGCACAAAGAAAGTGTTGAGACACTGCAAAAACGATTTGAAGACATTATAAATAGTGAAGACATCATAAACATCAGAGCATTCGATTCAGAAAACTGGTTACAGGTATGTAAAGATATTTTTCATATTATAGTAATATAATTAATCCACGATATATTTTTAGTCATTAAACATGAATGAACTGGCGGATCTTTATAAACGAATATGTATAATAATGAATAACTCGAATTTAATTCGAACGAAAGATGAAAATCGATGCTTTTACGAGAATGACATTAAAAGCGAATTTTTCAAAGAAATTAATAAAACGGAGAAAAGCTTAGGAACTTCGCATAAAAATTTATGTGCAAAAGGTAAACGATATTCTCGTACTGATTTTTAATTTTATCGTTTACCTTTCGAACGTTTAAATTTATATACATTTTTTATATCAAAGAGGAATCATCAAGTAAATTCGCATCGTCAATTTTGAAAGAACAAAATAATTCATACTTACAAAGTCAATGCCAGTTTATAATTTCAAGTCAAATTCAAAAATATCCAAATATACAAATGCAGGACTACGCATTAAATTTAGAACAAGATTTTAGGTAATGTACAGATTTCATTAGTTTATTTAGATCGTAAGCGGATTGTGTAGCAATTTTATATCATAGATGTTCTACTGATGAAAGAAAACCATCAGAATCTGAAAACAAATATGAAAAACAGAAACATGCAGTGAAAGATAATAGTACTGTAAGTTTATCATTTTTACAAACATAATTCTAATTCCAATCAGATATCCTCCATATTCTGTAAATAGTATACGCGTACATACATTTTATTAACAAACATTAATGATTGCAGTTTGATCAACAGAGATGGAATTTTATTAATCAATGTTGCACATACCACAAATTAAGCAGTACATCTGAATATTCAAGATACATTCACACAGACTAATTTTATTAAACAAAACACATTTTTTGTATAATAGATTTTATCGATGGCATTTAAGAAATTGTTTGTTTCTTTACGTGAATAAATTTTGTAACGAGTATAATATATTTTTATATACTTTTTTTAATTAATTTTACATTTTTTTATGTTACATTTATTCCATTAGAGTTTATGTAATTGAAGTTGTAATCTGTAAGAAAACATTTTCAAAAACAAAAACTAATCTATTAAATTCTGAAAAAAGGACACATTTATTTGTAAACTAAAATTTAATTTATTTAGAAACTATTTAAAAAATATATATATCGTTTCTTAAAACTAAATAAATCTGTGAAGCTAATATTTTCGGAATGAAATTGTATTATAACCAAAATAATATTGCATTCAAACTTATTATCTCTTAGTAACATATATGACTGTAAAATTATAAATAAATTTATATGAAACAACTATACGAATTAAAAATTTTATATTATACAATAACTTCTTTCTTTGAAATAGATACGTGTTCAGACTCGGAGTCAATGCACATCAATCTGGCGATTTGATCACAGTTTGTTACAAAATCAAAGGCACTACTGTACATCAAAATTTTATTTTTCAACTCTTTAAGTTTCGTTATACCATTTTTATGACTTTTTAAATTTCTTCTTCTGTATCGAACCGCTGTGATCATTTTATCTAAAGTGTAATGCAACCATAAAATATTTGTGTAGGGCTCAAATGTCTGCCAATTATTTCTGAAATAATTTACAAAAATAATTATGAAATTTTAAATACGTATAAACTGCATGTATATAAATGTACTCACTTGATTTTATCTTTCATCAAACGATATATTTCAAATTGATATTCACCCTGAGCTATAAAAAGACTGGGATCCGATGCAAGATCATTGAATATACTACATTCTTGGTATGTTACTCTTGAAAGTGTGAAATCTATAATAGATACCTAAAACAAGATGTTTAACATCTAAATCATTTATACAATAAATTAAAATAAGAAACGGTATATTGTTTCAACGTACTTTTACACCCTTACTGATTAATTTAATCTTCTTTTTTCCTAATTTGTAACTTATATGAGATTCAGTTGTTGGAGATATTAATATATTACCCCAATGCAAGTCTCTGTGTTCAAATTCAACAGCTTTTTCTGCGACTGCCAATGCCAATGCAGCCTGTCAAACACCATTAAATATAATTAATATATTTAATAAATGTTAATATAAATATGGTTGTTAAAAGAATTGAAAAACCTGTATGAACAGAATATAAGCTTCTTCTGCTGTATCAAATACGAATGCCTCTAAATCTTGACCACCATGGCCGAGTTCTAAAATAATATACAATTGATTGTCATTAAACATTGATGGACAATCATTTTCCGAACGTTTTTCTTCGTCATAAATATTCCAAAGTTCCACGAGTTTTTTCGGGTATTCTCCTCTGAGACATTTAATATTTTTTACTTCTACAAATCCATCGGTGTTATATTTTTTGTTAAATCTTAGATTATGTAATTCCCTAAAAATGTATTTTGTTAACATTTACGTTATAATTGATACTCCTGTATATTAGAATGATTGTTTCTAATTACATTGCAACAACGATTTCTGACAATATCTCATGAAATTTCTTTTGCGGCTCTCCATTTACATGTTCATTGCCTTCTATGGGAATAATTTTTATAACTGATTTCTCATCTTCGTATTCATGAAGAAAAACTTCGCCGTAAACGCCTTCCCCAATTTTCCGACAATGTTCCAAATATCTAAGAAATAAGTATTATATTATTATATATTAAAAATATTTCATGCGACGATACATGTGTATACTTACGAATCTGAGAAATATGTAGAAAATGGTATATAATCTTTTTGCGAGCATCTTTCCAAAATGACATCTTTTGCTGTTAAAACTACATGGTCCTCGGCAATTTCACTAATACCATTATTCTGAAGATTGCACTTGGAAGAGTTTTGTGAACCTGTATAATATATATATATAGTCATATTTAATAATGTTATATATACGTAAATACGAAATGACTCACCATTTATTAATGTAAACCTCTGACTTTTTACAGGAACAATACCATAAACTTCAAGAAATGGAGCATCTTCTATGAACTTTATAGTTTTATTAATTGGAACAACACGAACTGATATTCTTCTTGACAGACGTCCAAAGTTAGTAGAATCGCAGGTTCTGCCTTTATTAGTAGCCAATTCATCTTCAGTTTTGCTAATTATTTCATTACTTGCACGTAATTCTTTATCATTTACAGTTTTGCTAACACAACTCTGTATAATACCTATACACATGAGAGTTCCAGTATATATGGTCAATCTTTAATAAAGAATATGTTTTGTTCGCTTATGTTCAAATTATAGAACCTACCCATTTATATTATATTTCTCCCATTTTTCTGTTTGTTTGATTGTTTTCTTTTTTTTTTTTTAATAAAAAGACATACTTATTGTAACAAATTTTTTTGAAAATAGTAAGCACAAAAAAATTAAAAATATATAGAAAATAAAATGGAAATACATGTATCTGTCTATACATACATATATAGGTATTTTAATATAAAAAAATAATAAAATGTTAAGATTTCAGGTTAATAAATATTAAAACAGAATTTTGTTTCGTCAAAAATTTTTTAAAATGGTATTCAAATGTTTCTGCATATAGTAATAAAAATTTGTTTTCATGTATAGTGTATTTATCATAAAGTAGAATCTTTAATAAAGCCCATAATTACCTTGATTTTGCATATTTAAAACATCTATAACAATATCCCTCCATTTTTTACCTTTGCCTATAGATAATCTATCTAAATTGGATTCATTTTGTATATTATTCAAAATTGATAGAGATCTTGCCCATGATTTTCCTGGTTTCAAATATATAGGTTTCTCTACTTTCATTGATGTGTCATTAATGAATGTTTCTATTATATTTTCTGAAGGCTGTAATGTTTTCTTAGACAACCTTAATTGTTTACTTTCATTCATCCTTTTTGAATATATCTGATTTTCTTTAAATTGAGTATCATCTTCTAAAATGTCAACTAAATCTAGCTCCCATTTACAATATCGTTTTCTTCTATGTGTAATTTTTACAGGGTCTTGTAACCGGTTTAAAACCACAAAAGGTTCCATTGTATTGTTACACTTGTCATCATCATTTATATTCTTACTTTCAAAGTCTATTTTATTATTTATATTTGAAGTTGATTTCTCGCTTAATTTAACAGAATTCGAATACGTTTCGTTACTTAATTCTCTATTTGTTTCACGTAATATTAAATTTCTGGTAGATACATTTACTATATTAATTCCTGTATTAACATTACACAATGAAGTTTGAATACTTTCATCTGTATCGCTAAATAACGAACGTGATCTGTTAATATCAATAGAAAAATTTAAATGTTTTCTTTTTACTGTATCTAATACTGCATGTTCCTGTATCAATTTAGAAGATACCCTTAATACATTATCTTCCTCCATTTCAGTTGTGAAACTATTTTTCATCGAGTCAAGAATCTCAGATGTTACTTCTATTGTGTGTTCACTTTGCTTATTATTATTATTATTACTTGTATCAAGTGCAGCTAATGAAGCTTCCTCAATATTTGTTACACAGGTGAATGATAATTCACTATTTTCCTTAATTACATGCTCTTCCGATGCATCAGATTTCCCACACAAATCTGCATTTATTTGCAATTGTAAAGAAACTAAGTTATCTTTACTACTTGTACAAGTTACAATGCTATCTGTGTATGTTGCGGACTCGTTTAATTTTTCAGAATATTTAGTAGAAATTGGTGACAAAGAAATTAAGTTAGTTGGTCTTACTGGTTTACCACTAGGTGTACTACTGATCATATCGTCATACTTTTTCCTGAAAGTAAGAGGCTTCTCGATCGAAGGCATTTCTAATTGATCTATTTTGACAAAACAATGTTTTGTATTTATGTTACTATGATTTATATCGTTAATACTTGTTTTAATAACTTCAGGATGTTCTAACGAATCGTAAATTTCTACTATACTTATTTGCGTTTCTTTTGCTGAATTGGTTTCATGATCGATTTCATTCTTCTGTTCAAACGGTTTCAACTTATCCAAAATTACATAACATGACATTACTTTTACACTTTTATTTCTCTCATCTTCTCTAAAGGCACATTTACTATTGGATTGTTTGTTTGGTACTTTGCTATAGTTACTATAATGATCCTCGAACTTAGGAGTACTAATCTCAGAATTCAAACATAAAATATCAGTGTTTGTATTACCGGATGATATTTTCTTGTCGTTTCTTGATTTATAATTTTTGCGCGTGTTATACTTCTTTACCTGGTTTTTAAAAATACAAACATTAACAATACTTTTTCAACTTATGATATTAATCAATTAAAATTATGCTCCATTAATAATTCAACAAAACTCACCCGAGACTTATTATTTTGAACCGTTAATCTATCCTTTTTAACCGCAGTTTTTTTCTCGATTTGCATTTTTTGCTTTTTGCATCGTACCTTTCGTTTTGAAATAAATTTAATGTCAGCATTTGGTAATTTAATATCATTGTATAACGAATGCTCAGAATCAATCTTATTGGATGTAGCGCTACTAGAATTAGCACTGTCATCTGTACTAGTATATTTTGTTTCAGTATTACTTGTCTTAAGTGATTGTACTCTATAAACAGAAAGCCAAATCACAAACCGAACACGTATCTAAAGATAGTAACAAAACTTCATACCCTGTATCTTTCACAAGTTTATCGAACGTTGTTTCAAAAGGATCATAAAATGCAGAATTATCGTTACCATCGCTCTTTTTAGATACACTTAATTCTTTTTTCATTGAAACAAAACCATCGTCAACATTATTTGTAGTAGCCACATACAATTTTTGTAGTGGAACTACTATTTCCTTATAAGTTTTTCTTCCGTAAGTTCGAACCGGTACTTTATAATTCATTTTAACTTCTTCGCAATATCAAAAGTCGCTTCGTCCCTTTTTGAACTCAAAACGAACACTTTAGATACATTCGTAAACCGGCCGAATTTACATTTATTTAAAATTTAATTCAGAAACGTGTATTTTGTTTTCATGCACAACCTAAAACGAAATACAGCACAAGCTAAATACATAAATCTATATACGTCTCCATTTCGGTGTACGAAAAGAGTAATTAGTAAATAATCAAGTTGTAGTTCAATTTATCGAAATGGCGGATATATTATCTCTCTGTTTCTCTCGCACACTGTTGCTGATATCGTTGGACCGTTGTAAAATTGGTCCTTGAATGTTGTCAGGGACCAGTGTGGTCACATCAGGCATAATTGAGTGCATCGAAATCGACAATAGTGACGACGAACTTCCTTAGCGTCTAACGGAATGGTGGGAAAAGCAGACATACCTTACCGCACGGCCACATGTAACATCAGGCTAGCTATTTCAATAATGGAATACTTATAGCTATATATAAATAATTTCTACATATTCTCCATCAAAATACGCGTTGTTTGCAACTTGAAACATTAAGATCCTCCAATCCGTTCAAAAGTTATAACGTTTTAAACATACGCATGAAATTTCAAGCAAATATTTCTGGCCAAAAATTATATTTTCGATAATGAATTTCTGAATTTCTGAAGTAAATTGTTTGAAAATAGTTTATCAAATAAGACTATGAAAATTATTTTCAAACGATTTATTTGCTAAGTATTTCATTATTTCAAATAATAATTCTTTAATTTTATTTTGTATTACTGATCATATCTATTAACTAGCGCCAATACTCTCAGCCAATCAGCGCTAGCTTCAAGAAGTTCTATAAAAACCATGCCCCCTGGCGGGCCCGGGGTAGATATCCCTCAACCACCAAGCGAGACGGACCGTATCGAGATGAAGAATTTAATTGAAGATTTACATTCGATCAAAATCGAAGATGGCCAAGAAGATGGTTCACGAGCAGCGGCCAAGGGGCAAACCGGTCTTTTTAAAGACCAAGAAAATCTCATATTTGGGAACAACACCTAAACTGAACAAATAAACTGAACAACTTTTATATTGAACAATTCAGAGACTGAACATCTCTGTTATGGAACAACTTATGCAATAAAACTGATCATGATATATTTCCCTACATAGGCAAAAAAGATACAAATACAAATTGAATTCAATATTAAATAAACATTCTTTGTTATAGAATGAAAGAATTATTATTTGAAACAATAGAACAATTAGAAAATTATTCGTGACTTTGGTTATACGTAGCTCGAAACGTAAAAATGGCGGGGTAGTCGAGATTTCTTAATTGTATGCCGCGAAAACGGGCTTCGGCTATTCAAGAGCAAGAAGGAAAGGCTTCCCGTTCACGTTCGTTTAGGTAAGATATGTCAATAATGGTTTTCCCCACCATTCCGTTAAACGCTAAGGAAGTTCGTCGTTACTAATGTCGATTTTCGACGCACTCAATTAATGCCTGATCTGGCCACAGTCGGCCACACTGGTCTACCTTCACGATGAAGCCATCATTTTGTTAAAGTACCTATGTTGCTCGATGTTTCTAAATCACATGGTTAACCTCTCTATTATTTTCAATATTTACATGTTGTTTATGATTAACTTTTTATAAAATGGATCCACGCGATAAATTTCATCTTTACGTCGGATGTAAATCTGGAGTCTTTAAGGGTAATTGATTAAACTTTTTAAGCGCGCATAGGTTATCCAGAAATATTTAATCGTTTGATCGAGAAATAAAATTAACGCGTTAAACGCTGCTGAATGAAATTCCGTATACGAACATTTATAATTACTGAAAAAATTGTCTGTACTATTGTCTTGTTTATATACATAATAACATAGAGTATATACGACTAGTACAAATGCGTTTTAAAATAATTCTATACACGGACAAAAAATTGGCACACATTTGTGTACACGTACTAGTGTAGACGTATATTGTTTTTTATATGTTGATTAAGAGAGGATGTCCTAATGTATTATTTTACATTCTTCTTTGTAGGTGTAAAAATAGATAAAGAGCATATCCTAATGCAAAACATACAAAACTTGGTATCCATAACAGATAATGATGAAGTCACAACAATGTCTTGGGGCGATGAAGAAGAACATGAAATTTTAATTGCCTGTGGAGTGAAAGGGATTAGGAGGTTATTTATAATAAGTAATTTTTCAGCTAAAATAAAGTTGAGCCCACTGTCTGTACCAAACTTGCTCTAATAGCTCATATTTTGCAGCGTGAAGGTTTATGATACAGAATGTTCAATGTTCACGTGTTCGTTCTTTACCGATATCGGTAAAGGAAGTATTAATGGCATATCACGATACGACGAGTAAGTAATAACTTCTGCAAATCATGATCAAACAATATACTGGTATTCTACTGGAATATGTGTTCGTTTAGAGCAATTTTAACTGCGGTCCATTCGGGAGAAGTGAAATTATGGAGGTTTAAGAAAGAGGATGAAATCCTAATACATGCTGGCAAACACTTGAATAGAATGCGTCATTCTAAAATGAATAAAAACATAATTGCAACCGGTGGCTTTCAACATAGATTAAAATTATTTGATTTAGAAAAACAGAGCGAAATATTTCATGAGAAAAATATAGCTCACGATTGGTTAGAATTGGAGGTTCCTATTTGGATCTCTGATATTCAATTTCTTCCTGGTACTGAACAAATCATTACAGTTGGTAAATACGGGCATGTAAGATATCTTTAAATTACGAATACTTTTCTATTATAAAATCATCAAGACCTGTAAAATAAATTGTTTATTTTAAGATACGATTATATGATCCCAAGATGCAAAAAAGACCAGTTATAAATTTGGAAATAAAAGATGAAGCATTAACAACGTTAGCTGTAACACAGCGAGAAAAGTAAATATAACTCATATGTTCGTTCTTGGCGATATAAATACGAGGGAAATCATATCATCTGTATTGCAGGCAAATTATAGTGGGTTCTGGCAAAGGTAAAATGAACCTTGTAGATCTAAGAGCACCAGCTAAAGTATTGAATACTTACAAAGGATTTGCCGGTGGTGTAACTGGGTTAGCTTGTAGCACAAGTAAACCTTATGTTGTTAGCACTAGTTTAGATAGATATTTACGAATACATCACATTGACACTAAGAAGTTATTAAAACAGGTAAAAACGTGGGATCTCGAAAATGGCAGGATCCCGAAGATGTTCGGGAGATAGATCCGTATAATTTACGAAAATTTTAAATAAAAGATTTTACACTTGTTATTTCCTTAATATATTATTTTCACTTTACTTTTTACAGTCTAAAAAATTCGTAATTTTTTTCGAGCATTTTACGAACTCCCGAACATCGATGATAATCCTGATTATTTTTGAGATCCCGATTTTAAGAAAAATTTCTGAAAAAAGACGCTAAATTTTATATTATATTCTTTACATATAGATAATTTATATTTTCATTTATACTTCAGATTTATTTAACATCAAAGACGTCGTGTATGTTGTTACGTTCAGGATTTTCATTGCAAACTGAAAATGAAGTAAGCGAAGATGTACAAATATATACTAGTAACAAGGACTTGAGTACTGCAGATCAAAAAGATGTGCAAGAAACAGTGGATAACGATCCTGAATATGACATGTTATTCGAAAAAATGCCAGTTATTAGCAATAAAGAGGATAGAAAATTAATTGAAAGAAAGCGAAGGAAAACAAAGGATTTAAGCAGTTCGTTAACGGGTAACGAAGTAAGTATTCGCTATAATTTTTTTCAATTGGTATAAAAATAAAGCTGTTCTTCCGAATGACACCTGTGACGATATGACCTGATACTAAATATATGTTAGCTTCGGCAATTTAATAGTTTCCAAAATATTAGATTTATATTTGGCATATATTTGCCATTCGGAAGAATATACAAAAATAACATGATTATTAAATTGTTTTTTTTTTTCAATCTATTTATATCTAGGTATCACATAAATCTACTTTAAGGAGAAACGAGAAATCCGAGAAAAATTCGAAGAGAATAAAATCGGTATAATTAAAACATATAAGATATCTATAGTTCATGTGAACAGTAATATTTACGGATTAAAAGATTAAAACTGTTTCATATTTTGTAATAAGTTTGCTTATAAAATTTAAATAAATATTTATACGAATTAAAGTGGGAATTATTAAATAATCATAGTTCCAAAAGTGCAATCGTCGAAGTCTGAAAAAAACTGATAAAGTGGACAAAAAATGATCATAAGCAATAAAGTAAAATGTTTCTGTTGCGATGTATTTTGTCACTCAGCAATTCATTTTTCATTTATAACTTACATATATGAGGGACACGAATAATACGCTAATTGTTTTTTGTCCTGAATATACAGTATTGTTGATTAATTCTTTATTGTACAATTTATTCTTAATACCTTGTCTATATATTGTTTTGGTTCGCAAATGCAGCGTACGCCGAGTGCAATGGTTTCTCAAGTACAATAACTACCGCTGTCTGTTTTCTGTCAGGGTTACTTAAATTGTGCTTTCAATACAATTGTGATATTGAAATCGGGTGCGCTGCAGGATGTAGGCTACTGTAATTTTTTATGTCTAGAAACTAGAAAAAGTGAACGTGACAACTTTGCAAAGTTGAAACGCATTTTGTACTAAAAGGAAATATAATGTTCGCAGCTACAGCACACTAAATCTTATTCGGCTATATTCTTTCAGCTGTACAAAAATCATTGTCCACTACGCCTCTTGTTAATTAATACTAATGCAAACTTGCTTTATCCTGACTGCGCTTACATCTGAAATGGAATATTTATTCTTATCCTCATAAACGGTACCTAGGAATAAATTTACTAAATTACAGGCACTGTCCCCTTCAAGATCAAGTGGTGGTTTTACCCATATTTCTACAGAGAAAATGGAACTTTGCGCCAAAAAAGGAAAATACATTCCTCGGCACAGAGGCCATTTATATACAAATTTCCACACATAGATGTAACATGCAGATGTCTGCACAATTCATAATTCCATCTCTTTCATGCAGTAAGCGTAGAACAAAGATCTGTTTCGAGACGAAACGGTTTCTTTTTAATTGATCGCGTTGATACAGGAATGCCTTCTGCCACTCACTTTATAACTCGTTATTGAAACGGTATCATACAATGTTGAGTGGAGTATGATGGATTTACATAATTATCGTCTACTTCTCAAACAGAATTCGATACCGGTGCTTTCTCTGTTCATATGACATGATTAGATCAGATGAAAACTTAGGATAAACATGATAAAAATTTACAAGAAATCTAGGTTAATTTCCGAAATTATTTTCATCGATTCATTTTTATGAAAAATTAGCAACAGTGTAAAATGTAATTACAAAATTTTCCTCTCATATATTTTACGTGACGTCAATTATATCCTCACAAATAATTACGTAATATACAGAATTTGGTCAGAGATCACGTAACAACGTTAATATGTTCTTTTTACTTCGATTTTGTTTTGTCTAAATGAAAATTCACGAACAAAACAGTTAATTTGTAAAAACCTCACGTAAAGCAGATACAAACAAGATATAAGTATTTAAAAGAAGTACGATTAAATTAAATTATATATACACACAAGTCTAAAATAAATGTAAAATGAATATGTCTAAATCAAACTGTTTTGTAAGTAACTTGAATAAAGTACTGCGGATACTTCTATATATTTTAAGCATCGATGAAAAGATTGGTGGCAGCACGCGTTCAAGGTGAGGAAAAGTTGTTTCCTATTTCCATGCTTTATAGGCCTGTCACTTAATAATTAGCAATATTGTTGTATGAAATACATAAAGCAATCGCGTATAAATTCAATGACAGATTATAGCTTAGATTCGTGTAAGTATTGCCTTCCTGTACTTAAATATTTCTTGAAGATGCACAGAAGCTGTACAGTAACATAACTTTCAACATTTCAATTATTATTCGTATTTTTACTGTTTGTTATTTGTTACACGCACACTAATTTCATTTGATAGCTACATCGTAGTCGGTTGTTAATGTAAAATCAAAAGCACCATGTTTTTTTTTTCTCCTGTATCACATGTGCAATTGTTTAAAATTGAAATTCTTTATTATGCACATCGGTTGCTAATGTTCAAACATCTATCGCGATAGTTCACAGGCAAGAAGCTATTTTTATAAACACGCATACAGGATCTACATATTTAGAGACTTTTTCTTTAAAACTGTAATATTCGTTTATGTCGGGAAAAAGCATGGAAGGCCTCTGTAAAAACGGGGTCCATATTTATTAATTATGGAGCACTCTTCGATATACAACTACACTGTTCCATGTCCCGTGGACACGTCTCTAAACTATTTCAGGTAAATAAAGTAAGTTATTTCATAATCTTTGATCTCAATTAAAATACAAGGTTTCAGTGTAAGAAGAGCACAGCAGCATAATAAATGTGAAGTTCAAAACAACTACATGTTTCCTTGAAACTCTTGGAACATTCCCAGCGTACGGTAGAAGAAAGGGCACAGAGAATTCGTACCCTGAACAGTTAATGGCGTAGCGATCGTGCCTGGCAAGAAGCTCGAACGTTTATGTTGAGTAGCATTTGTACCATAAAAAATTAAGCTTTCTCAACTTTATACAGTATACAGCGTTGCATTATTGTTTGCCGCGTCCAATGAAATTCATTCATCATTTTCACGCTCAACACGATTTTTAATTACTTCCGATAAGTTACTCTTTCTGACGTAAACAAGCATAGAACGATGTTTTATGTTTGTCATAAATTCTTAAGCAAATGTAACGCGCGCGTTAAGAATAGGTGATAAACACATGCTAATACGTTCGCTACTTGCTGCTGTTGCACTGCAAAATTTGAACTTTACAGCGATAAAGCCGGTCACAATTTCATGCTTAATAGCATGTTAAGGTAATATTTCCTCATTCCCCGCCTGACACAGTCACTTCCCTCCATGCAGATTCTTGAGACTGTGCCACTAAAGTGGATTGAGGTTCAGAAATATCTGACGTTGCTGGACTCAGCGGTGGACTAGGTGTCGCGGGTGCTTCATCAGGTTGGTTCACTTCGGCTGCATCTTGTTCAGCTTCCTGTTCACCATCAGGGAGAGAAGCCTCCGACTGCACAGAACTTGGAGCCTTTGATAGAGAATCCTGTGCTCTTAACGATATAGAACTATTTTTATTACTACTGCCATCTTCACCTGTAAACAGACGTTTAGTTATTGTTATATTTTTAACTGGATGTTTTTCATTCCCGTAATGCAATTTTAGAAAAGTATTTTTACCGCAAGGCCTAAGAACGAGGTAGAAGAGTAAGTCGGATAGAGAAATTATACCAATCACTTTATCATCTTCATCAACCACTACTAGCCTATGAACCTAAAAAAATATCAATGCTTCATAATTTAATAAATTCGGTACAATAAAACCTAGTTAATCTGAAGTAATTGGGGAATATGTGATCCATTCGAATTATCACTGTGTCCGGATTAACGGATCGTATAAAGTGGTGCCCGGTTAAATGCTCAACAATCGGGACCAGACGTGAACATTTAAGCGGATACACCACTTAGTAATTTTGAAAACTAGTTGCAATACACAATATTATATTTTAATAAAAACTATAATCCGAGAATATTGTACCTCTGCTCTAACAATTCTTTCCATAACAGTAAACAGAGTTTCATCTAATTTACAACTTTGAACTCCTTCGAACCATTCATTTCGATGCTCATTTGCTTCCCGTAATGAAACATCTAAATTGTTATATGTTTTCTCTGCAGCTAAATTCTAGAAGAAAAAAAGATAATATTATTTAAAGATTGATAATAACAAATTTACAAATAGAAGAATCAAAATATGAAATATACTTACAATAACATCAAACTTTGAATAAATGTTAACCAACTTTCCTTCAGCATCAATAATCGGCAATGCTGAAACTCTCCTTTCAACAAATTTCTTGAGTGCTAGAATTATGCTAGTTTCTTCTGTTGCTGTTTCTATATTATCAAATGAACCTATCCTCAACTCTCTCAGTGTTTTATTCGTGAACGATGGTTTTGGTAGCTCGTGAATCTGTTATTAGAGTATTATAATAACATACAATCTCTAATAAATAATTACATGCTTCTGTAATTCTTTTTGTACTTACATAAAGGAAGAGGAACCTAAGAATTCGTTTGTGTGTCAGAATATAGAGAACATTTCCAGTATCTGGGTCTATCACAGGCAGACGATGAATTCTATTGTGAATTAAAGTTTTAATAGCCTCGTACAGAGATGCATCTGGGCTAATGCTCACCAACGGATGTACTTGATCCTTTAAGACTTCTAAAATAATAAAGAACAAAACATATTTTAATTATATTTGAATTTGAATGTTGAAACATTCATATCACTTTGCATCACAATATTTAAAAAAGAATCTATTTACTTCTCCATGTATCTAACTCATGCTCTTCCAATTCATCCATTGTTACAGATGGGCTGGTGTAGTACATCTGCAGAATTTTTATAAAGTCTGTTATGGTCAACATCCCAATAAATTCTTGCCTTGAACTGTCCCATAATGGTGCAGCTCTCACACCTATAAAAAGAGGAACACTGCTGGGTAACAAAGCATGCAACATCTTTATAATAAATAAAGAAATACCGATTGTTTTTTACACGTTTGACAAAAAAAATTTCACTGATAATTTTAAGTGTAAAATTTTAAGTGTAAAATTTTAAGCATACTTTGAAAAAATAAGTGTTATAGGAACAAACGAACGTTAATTATTTACCATTGTAGACAAGAGCGAAGAAGGCCTTCTTGACAAGTAGGTGCGTGTCGAAAACGACCAACTTGGCACTGGTCGGTATTAGGTCGTAACATTTGTGAAATTTGAAGAACTTTACGAAGATCTGTGATTCGTCCTCCTCTGAAAGTCCAAACAGTTCACAGTAGAGTAGTGCTTTCTGATTTCGACGAAGCATGTTTCTTTTTTCTTTCGTTTTAACGATGTCACAATGTTCTTATAATTTACACGTTATTTTTTAAACTATCCGAAGTTTAGATAACGACGTAGGATATTGATTTATCGGGACCCATATTCTGTCTGTTTCAAGTATTCACTTTACAGTCTGTGACGCCGTGACACTGTTTTCTTCTTCGATTTGTCACAAAAACTTTCGAACGAACGATAAGTTGACCGTCAAACGGGAGTTTGTGACCTTCTGTTGAGATAGGTTATGGCGATGGAATATTGGCGCCGAATCGCGTATTTCGGCGCTGTATTCAAACATTGCAGTGGAACGAAAACTAACAAATTACGATTCCTACAATAAAATGACAATCCCTTCCACTCGTCGAAACTCCTATTCGAATATCTTACGAAAATATTAATTAAGAACAACCCTGCAAATACTTAACGATCTATTCGTCATCAAACAAATGTGTAATTACGTAATCGTTTAATGGATAGTTATTTATTCTAAATCTTCCATTAGAGAATGCTTCAGGTCTACTGTTATTTCAACCATCGTGCATAAAGAACGATAATATGGGTCACAAGTACTTAATCAAACGTTCTCACGAGGGGTGGTAATGTTATGCAACGTTGAAATGAGCCCCATTGGATGATCGATTACATGCGACCGACGAGGATCACTTTATAAACCTCATCTAATGATAAGAATTCTTCACCGTGTAATTCGTTGTACAGGTATATCGATTAAGCGAACGAACTGGATTTCGCGTACGACGGTGTAATTTCTACCGTGCACTTGTAATTACAGCCACGTAATTGTTGCAATTAATAACTGGAATCCAATTTATACTATTGGCAACGCGTAACGCAAGATTCCATTATCAATTATCAACGATGTGGTCTACTTCATAGAAAATTACATCATACGATTACTAACAGCTTGCTTTCTATATTTGCAAAAATATTTACGATAATTTTTATTTTTACTTTCCCCCTCCCCATATGTATTTATATTTTCTACTTTTCGTTTCAACTTTGTGTGTATCTCTGGTCCTATTGATCGTACAGAGTTCCTCAAGGTCTCATTTTTCTTGTTATATACTTAGGGTAGTTTGAGGAATACTTTATGCATTTTCCCGATTCGAGGCGTGAGAAGTTTGACGAGGCAAAGTGTGAAAATGACACATTCTGAAATGAAACTGAAAGAAAATTTCTTATAAAGGATTTTTATTCTTATTCAGATTCTCTGAAGAATTTACTAAACATTTTAATGACGGAAAATACAATATTACTTGTTCGTTGAATTTTTAGTCATTCAGATTTTTATTTTTAGGCGAGGCGTCAAAGGAAAGAACCGTTCCGGGTGTTAAATACTTTAGGTACGTTCCTAGCAGCAGCACGAGGACAAGTACCACTTTTGTATATGTAAAAAAAAAAAGGAAGAAAGTCTGATGAAATTGCTGGATCGATATTCGTACACGAATTGTTTCACCTTCTATTACTTAAATCGCGAGGAAACTAAAGATTCGAAACAACGTGAAAATTAATACGCGGGAACCAGAGGCACATTTAAAAACTCAGGGGATGATGTAACTATTGAAATTTTATTTTTTTTTTGTTACTTAAGCCGATGGACTAGTTTTGAAGATAGTGTGGGCCAAAGTAAGGTAAAATTTCTACCTCGAAAAACGTAATAAATCGAACGAACGATAAAATCACGTATACGTGACAACGGCCGTCGGAGTATTGCGAGGGAAAACGAACAGTCCATTAAAATTTCTGGTCTGGGATTCGAACTCGGATGCTTCGTTCGTCGAATGATCGTTCTGCCAATAAAAGCTATCTTGTCCGACGAACAATAAGCCTAATCCCCCAATAAGCCTCGTATTAAGAATTGGCTGTCGCCCACGTAACAGTGGGTAAAATCACAAAGGAGTGAAATTGGTCGGAAGAAACTCTACGTCATTTCTCGAAATGATCTTCAATATGATAATAGTCTGTTTCACGACCGAATCTGTGGACGTCGTTAGCGTGTGATTATAATCGGATAAACATAATCCCATGGTGAACATTCAACGAGACTAAAATAAATAAAAGAAGCTCATTTTCTAGAGCAACTTAGGACACAAGTTTTAACGAGAAATGTCAAACCATTAACCTTCTTACTTGTTTCTAGGACAATTGAATCAAGAAGAGTCAGGCAGCTGTAATAAGCGTGGCATAAGTTGCTCGTTAAAACATATGTTTGACTTCCTGAATCATGCGACTGTCTCACATCGTACAGGAACAATACGCGACGATGTTCGTGCAAATGGTCCAAGCATGTTTTTATAACGTGGACGAAGATAATGTTTCTAGATCTTTTATTTGGAATACTTTCGTAATACAGGCTGGTTTCGTATATGGAACAACACGGGTATGGCCGTGAAAATAGAAATTGCCACGTAGGATGACGTCCGGGAGCTTCTCCATAGAGCATCTGTGGCTACGCAACATTGTTCCAGGAACAGAATTCTATTAAAACACTAACAACGTGCAACAGACGTGGGCCATTCAAAACGCAATGCAACTATCAATGAAGCACAGGAGCAGAACAAGGGTTTCGATATTGCGAACAGAACGCGATACTTTTTGTCGTCGATGTTTTTGTTCGTCCCTAGATGAGAGCTTTTTTTTACGAAGGCGTGCGAGATCACGGCGAATAGGAAAACAAAAATAGTCGAGAAACAAAAACCACTCGCGGGCGCAAATTTACTAGATGAGAGGAGGAACGAGAGGGAGAATAAAAGAGCAGGGGAAAGCGGTCACAAAACAGACAGGTGAAACCAAAACCGTTCGCGTAAGCGCCTCGAATAGCCGCTGTAACGAAATATAAAAGGTTGTTCAGTTTGCTAATGGTGGAAGAAAACGAAAATTAATATTTGATCGACATATTCGCTGAGAAAACAGTGTAAAATTAATAGAACACGTTTTCTTCCATTATTCCGTAATTCTTGAATCGTCGATAGTTACAAAACAGCGTAAAATAGCGTTTAGTCAACAACTTGGAATCGTATTACTCACGGAGTACCAAGAAATTCTGTAGCTATAGTAAGCGCGCGAATGCTACAGGAAACGTAATGGAATAATTATTGGATGTGGCAAGATTTCATGAAACTTGAATTTCAAACGAACTTTTAAAAGTATATAATTTATTATTGACCCATTTCGGGATAGAACTTTCTACCGCGGCTAGTTTTTATGATCTATCGCGCGGTGTAATTGGGTAACGTCGACGGAACTTGATAGAACGAGTAAAGTTCGATACGTTTCTTTCGCCCGCAATAAACGTATGTTCGAACGCACGAATGCGAATAAATCTGTAACGACAATGTTTACGCGAGATAAATGGCCCCGTTATTGGACACGTAAGAATACAATGGTTTAAAAATAAGTGTGTTTTATCGGCACACAGGTAAACGTGCAAAGTATAGATTATCGCGAACGTTGTCCATTTTAGTTTTCAAATTCGATCGATACTTAAGCAAAACGTGCGTTTTTACGATGAAGTTATACCGAAGCCTAAATTATATGAAGTTATTCTCATTGCCATTTTTGTTTTTAGTATTATTGTTTATCTAAGTTCTATTATTTAATAAGTACACATATTTCGTCATAAATAATTGTTTACACGCATAAAATCAAACCGAAGGCACTCGTGGCTGGCAGTGGAGACATTTTTATATTTATGTCTGTGGCCACAAAAGGTTTGCAAATTTAAAAGACTTTATAAAATAAAAATATTGTAAAAGACTTTACTATTTCGAAGAAAAATCGCCTTCTATACTTTTTAAGGGGCTATTCTACAGTTAATTCTTGAAAAAAGTTTCTATTTATTTAATTTCCTTTAAAAAAAACACGTTTTCGAATATGCCTAAGAGTTTATGTTCGAATTCTAAAAAATACTGAAATTATAGCTGTTTAAAGCACGCGATCGTCAGCGTAAAATGGCGGAGGCTGGTGCAAATGGCGAAAGGCAAAGGCAGATAATACAATAGATACAATAGTACGTATATTATCCGAATTAATAGCATTCCCTTTGTTGTATCATTCATAGTATAAACGAAACGCGTGATTTTAATTGTACGATTTATTTTTAGAGAAGACTGTTAAACATAATAATAGTTTTAAGAAGTAATAGTTGAAATATTAAAATGAAAATGTAAAATGTAAAATGTAAAACATAAAATATAAAAGGAAAATTAGGTGTTATAAAATGAATTAATTATACGTTTGCATCTACTATTTGGAAGACAAATACAGATTTTGAAGTATAAACAATGTTACTTATATATTTCTACTGTATTTATGAGTAATGTATCTTTGCAAATAATAAACATAGACAAAAATCTCGTATATGTGATCGCTTATTTTTGCTCCATCGTTACCAGAAAAAGCTTAAATAAATCATGGAATTTCCCAATGCAAAAAAGTGCAAAAAAGAGTAGATATTCTCGCCAGCGTCGAGCGAAGGAACGCGAAATAATCTCAAACCGAAGCTATAATCGCTAGAAACTTTAATTGGCTCTATAATTGCTGCAAAATATTCTCTCGTGATCATTGGTTGTGGAACTCAACGTAAGGATAAAAAGATCGTTCGACGCGCGTCTATCGCGAGACAAATTATATATTTGTTGCGTCCAAATTGCTGTAACAGCCAACAGGAGCCTGTTTGAAATTACGTAACGCGAAACGGAAGAAAAGTGGCGCGTTTTACGTAATTTTTCGAATCGATAAGGCCCCACTTGTCGTTTCGCCGAACGAGACAATCACAGAAACGAAATTTCATCCACGATCGCGAAAAATTTTCAGCGATCCCGTGGAAAGTTTCCTTCTTCCATGGGAAACCCCGACCAATTACCGGGGCTGGAAACGCAATAGCGAGTCCTAGTTCCGCGCCAAGAAAAAGAAAC